AAATACGCAGGGAATGATCCCAATTTTTTGATACCGGTTGAGACCTGATTTAGGACCGAGGATGTGATCTATTCTGGAGAATGTTCCATGTGCACTAGAGAAGAATGTGTATTCTGTTGCTTTGGGATGAAATGTTCTGAATATATCTCTGATGTCCATCTGGTCCAGTGTGTCATTTAAGGCCTTTATTTCCTTGTTGATCTTTTGCTTGGATGATCTGTCCATTTCAGTGATGGGAGTGTTAAAGTCCCCTACTATTATTGTATTATTGTCGATGTGTTTCTTTGATTTTGTTATTAATTGGTTTATATAGTTGGCTGCTCCCACATTAGGGGCATAGATATTTAAAATTGTTAGATCTTCTTGTTGGACAGATCCTTTGAGTATGATATAGTGTCCTTCCTCATCTCTTATTATAGTCTTTGGCTTAAAATCTAATTGATCTGATATAAAGATTGCCACTCCTGCTTTCTTCTGATGTCCATTAGCATGGTAAATTCTTTTCCACCCCCTCACTTTAAATCTGGAAGTGTCTTCGGGTTTAAAATGAGTTTCTTGTAGGCAACATATAGATGGGTTTTGTTTTTTTATCCATTCTGATACCCTGTGTCTTTTGATTGGGGCATTTAGCCCATTAACATTCAGGGTAACTATTGAGAGATGTGAATTTAGTGCCATTGTATTGTCTGTAAGGTGACTGTTACTGCATATTGTCTCTGTTTCTTTCTGATCTACTACTTTAGCTCTCTCTTTGCTTAGAGGACCCCTTTCAATATTTCCTGTAGAGCTGGTTTGGTGTTTGCAAATTCTTTCAGTTTTTGTTTGTCCTGGAAGCTTTTAATCTCCTTCTATTTTCAATGATAGCCCAGCTGGATATAGTATTCTTGGCTGCATGTTTTTCTCGTTTAGTACTCTGAATATATCATGCCAGCTCTTTCTGGCCTGCCAGGTCTCTGTGGATAAGTCTGCTGCCAATCTATTATTTTTACCATTGTATGTTACAGACTTCTTTTCCCGGGCTGCTTTCAGGATTTTCTCTTTGTCACTAAGACTTGTAAATTTTACTATTAGGTGACGGGGTGTGGACCTATTCTTACTGATTTTGAGGGGGGTTCTCTGCACCTCCTGGATTTTGATGCTTGTTCCCTTTGCCATATTGGGGAAATTCTCTCCAATAATTCTCTCCAATATACCTTCTGCTCCCCTCTCTGTTTCCTCTTCTTCTGGAATCCCAGTTATTCTAATGTTGTTTCGTCTTATGGTGTCACTTATCTCTCGAATTCTCCCCTCATGGTCCAGTAGCTGTTTGTCCCTCTTTTGCTCAGCTTCTTTATTCTCTGTCATTTGGTCTTCTATATCGCTAATTCTTTCTTCTGCCTCATTTATCCTAGCAGTGAAAGCCTCCATTTTTTATTGCACCTCATTAATAGCTTTTTTTATTTCAACTTGGTTAGATTTTAGTTCTTTTATTTCTCCAGAAAGGGCTTTTATATCTCCTGAGAGGGTTTCTCTAATATCTTCCATGCCTTTTTCGAGCCCGGCTAGAACCTTGAGAATCGTCATTCTGAACTCTAGATCTGACATATTACCAATGTCTTTATTGATTAGGTCCCTAGCCTTCGGTACTGTCTCTTGTTCTTTTTTTTGTGGTGAATTTTTCTGCCTTGTCATTTTGTCCAGATAAGAGTATATGATGGAGCAAGTAGAATACTAAAAGGGTGGCAGCAACCCCAGGAAAATATGCTTTAGCCAAATCAGAAGAGATCCCAAATCGTGAGGGGGGAGAAAAGGGATAAAAAGAGGTTCAGAAAGAAGAAAAAAAAAAAATTAAAAAAAAAACCAATAAAGAAAAAATATAAAAAGGAAAAAAAATATATATATATATTAGATAAACTAGTTAAAAAACGTTAAAAAAGAAAAGGGTAAAAGTTGAAAAAATTTAGCAGAAGAAGAGAAAAAAAAATTGAAAAAGAAAAAAATTAAATTAACAGCAAGGCTAAAGAATCATGGAGAGAAAGCTGTGAGTTCCGTGCTTTGCTTTCTCCTCCTCTGGAATTCCGCTGCTCTCCTTGGTATTGAAACTGCACTCCTTGGTAGGTGAACTTGGTCCCGGCTGGGCTTCTTGTTGATCTTCTGGGGGAGGGGCCTGTTGTAGTGATTGTCAAGTGTCTTTGCTCCAGGCGGAGTTGCACCGCCCTTACCCGGGGCCGGGCTGAGTAATCCGCTCGGGTTTGCTTTCGGGAGCTTTGTTCCCTGAGCGCTTTCCGTAGAGTTCCGGAGGGCGGGAATGAATATGGCGGCCTCCCGGTCTCCCGCCCCGAGGAGCCGATAGCCCGGGGCCCCACTCCTCAGTGCGCCCTCAGAGAACAGCGCCGATTTACTCCCGTCACCCTGCCTCCGGCCGCGCTCCGAGCTGACCGAGCCTGCAACCGGTTCAAGGTAACCCCGAGCTTAGAGCTCACTCCTCGGCTCTGTCTCTGTAGCCGGCTTCCCTGTTCTAATACCTGTAAGCTCTGCGACACTCAGACACCCCCGATCCTTCTGTGACCCTGCGGGACCTGAGGCCACGCTCACCCCGCCTGGGCTTCACCCCGGTTAAGCCTCTGGAGCGATGTCCCTCAGCGGAACAGACTTTTAAAAGTCCCGATTTTGTGCTCCGTTGCTCCGCCGCTTGCCGGGAGCCGGCCCCTCCCCCCCATGGTCTATCTTCCCGTCGCTTTGGATTCACTTCTCCGCCAGTCCTACCTTTCAGAAAGTGGTTGATTTTCTGTTTCTAGAGTTGCTGTTCTTCTTTTCGATCTCCCATTGGATTTGTAGGTGTTTGCAATCTTTAGATAAGTTATCTAGCTGATCTCCCGCTACCTGAAGTAGTCTCAGCCTGCTACTTCTCCGCCATCTTGACTCCTCCTCCGCCTTTGTTTCTTATTACCTAATTGCACTGGCTAGAACCTCCCTTCAGTGTTTAACAGAAATGGACAAACAGATAATCCTTGTTCTTGATCATGGAGGGAAAACATTCTTTTTTCACCATGAAGCTTGATGTTAGCTGTGTGTTTTCATGAATAGACTTTATCAAGTCAAGGACGTCCCCTTCTGTTTCTTGTTTTAAAGATTTATTTTAGAGAGCACATGTGAGAGGTGGGAGGGACAGATGGAGAGGGAGAGACAGAGTCCCTAGCAGAGTCCCCCCGAGCTCAGAGCCTGAGGCAGAATTGCCACCTCCTGACCCTGCAATCATGACTGGAGCCTGGAACCCAAACCAAAAGTTGGACACTTAATCGACTGAACCACCCAGGCACCCCTTCCCTTTTGATCTTAATTATGAGTGTTTTTATCAGGAGGTGTTGGATTTTTGTCAAATTCTTTTTCTCAGTTTATTGAGATGATCATGTGGGGTTTTTTTGTCTGTTATGCTACTGATACACCGTTACACGGATTTTTAGATGTTTCACCTTGCGTTCATGGGATTTATTCCTCTTGGTCATGGTATATAATCTTTTTATATGTTGCTAGATTTGGTTTGCTAGTATTTTGTTAAGGATTTTAGTGTTTATATTCATAAGAGATACTGGTTTTCTTGTAGTGTTTTTGGTTTTGAGATCTATTAATATTGGATTCATAAAATGAGTTGGGGCATATTCCTTTCAGGGTTTTTTTTTTTGTGTGTGTTTTTTTTTGGAAGAGTTTGAAGATCTGGTATTGATTGGACTGTAAATGCTTGGTGGGGTTCACTTGTGAAGTCATCTGGGCTTGGGCTTTTCTTTGAGGGAAGTTTTTAAATTACTGATTCAATCTCTTATTATGTAACAAGTCTTTACACATTTTCTATTTTTAAAGAAATTTGAGAGAGAGGGACCGGGTGGAGGGGCAGTGGGAGAGAATGTGGGGCTCGATCTCACGGCCCGTGAGATCATGACATGAGCTGAAACCAAGAGTCAGACGCAACCGACTGAGCCATTCAGGCGCCCCTCACATTTTCTATTTCTTGCATCAGTTTTGGTAGTTTGTATTGTTCTTGGAACTTGGTTACTGTTCTCTAAGTCATCAAAGCTGACATAGTTATTCGTGGTGTTCCTTTTTAATATTTTTATTTGTGTAAGGTCAGTAGTGTTGTCCCATTTTATTTTTTATTTTAGTAATTTGAGTTTTCTCTTTTTCTTGGTTAATCCAGCTAAAAGTTTGTTAATTTTGTTCAACTTTTTGAAGAACTAACTTTGATTTCATTCATGTTCTCTGTTTTTCTGTTCTGTATTTCATTAATTCCTGCTCCAACCTTTATTATGTCCTTCTGTGCTTTAGGTTCTGTTTGCTCTTCTTTTTCCAGTGTCTTAAGGTGGAAGATTAGGTTACTGATTTACCATCTTCTTGATATAGACCTGCACATTTCCCTCTAAGCACTGCTTTAACAGCCTCCCATAAGTTTGGTATGTCATGTATTTGTTTTAATTTTTTTCGGGATGCTCTCTTTATGCCTAGTGATTCCTTTGACCCATTGGTTTAATTTAGGAACATGTTGCCTAATTCCCACGTGTTTGTGAGTTTCTCACATTTTATTGTCATTGATAATTTCAGTCCATCGTGATTAACATCATACAGAGTATGTTCTCCAGTCATTTCAGATTTGTTGAGGCTTGGTTCATGGCCTAGCCTCTGGCCTGGGGAATGTTCCATGTGCCCTTGAAGAATTTGTTTTGCTCTTGTCAGGTCAGTGTTCTACGGAAGTCAGCCTGGTCAGGTTTGTTTATAGCGTTCAGGTCATCCTTGTCCTTGTTGATCAGACTGCTAGAAACCTACTTGTTAATCTGTTACTGAAAGTACTTTCTGGGAGATCTTAACCTTCGACCTTTGGATTTATGCCAGGTAGTATGGCACAACTAGGGTAGATCAAAGCATTTCTCGGGGTTTGGGTGTTTTGTCAGAAGGATGTCCATTGCCTTGCATGGGGTTGTTGTGAGGTTTAAAGTCACGGAGCCCCCGGCTGTCGTGCGCTCCTCTTTCAGCTCCGAGCCCCCAGCGAGCTTCAGCCCAGGCCGCAGGACGCAGACCTGCCCCAGGCAGAGGTGCTGCAGGTGAAAGGAAACGTGCCCAGCATCGGCGAGCCCCAGACACCAGCCCCCAGTTCTGAGGCGGCTTTGGAGTTGAAGAGACAAGGTAAGAGAGGTAAGTGAAGCCTGGTAATTGCACATTTAAACCCTCTCTAAGATAGACATAGTGGCAGTCCGGCATCTTTGCAGATGGCTTCATGGCAAAGTGTCCCTGTGGGAGGCAACTGGTGAGCTGGGTTTGGGCTGCTGGAGGCAGGTGAAGGTCTCTCCGGGTGCCTGGAATTGGGGCCGCAAGGCTTTTCCTTGTCTTACTGTCATCCCTGTAGACCGAGTGCCCTGTTCTTTGGCAGCGTGTGACGGTCCAGGCTGTGCTTCACCGAGGACATTGGGACTGTGGGATTACGGGGAGATGCCTGGGCCTTGGGCAGCCGTTATGGCAACAGGGGGCCTTGTCTCAGATACATATGATGGTCGGATAACTTCGACTCATAGGTTGTCACTGAAATCAAATAACTTGTGCAGATTTTCTTCCTAAACCGCTTCTCTCCTATGTTCTGAAGTTGAGCTGCAGGTGTGGAGAAGCCGCAGTCTTTGCGACGCCACAGAACCAGTCACCCAGTTGCTCCCCGCCCCCAGCCCTTGGGAAGGCTCTGGGAATTGAGTGGTGGGAGGGTTTTTGTTTTCATTTTAATTCAACTAAATGCTGGTGAGGGCACAGCTAACTGTTCTCTGCACAGAGGAAACCAACGAGATCCAGGTCGTCAGTGAGGAGGAGCTTCCGAGGGACAGCCTGGGGCTGCCCCCGGAGCCCGGCCGCGAGCAGGCTGTGGAGGCAGATGCACCCGCGGCTGGAATAGGCCCCGGGGGAGCTGGGGCGCCGGGCCAGACCGCACGGGCGCCAGCGGCGAGGCTGGACAGCCAGGAAAATCAGGAGGACCTCGAGCGGGATCAGCTTGTCGTCCCTGATGGGCAGGAGGAGGAGGAGGAGCAGGACGCGGCCGAGGAAGGTGGGTGCGCCGCTCTGTGGGTCGTCTGCGGACTCCTCTCCTCTGCTCTTCGTCTGACGCGGGCAGGGCCCCTGTGAAGGGCCCGGTTGGCGATTTGGTGGTTCTTTTTCGCTGGGTCTCTGCGAGCATGCGGGAGGCGGGAGGGAAGAGCGCCGCGCACGCCGGCAGGTGGAGGTGACCAAGTAACACAGCGGGTGGGCGGTGGCTGGGGGCGGTTTCAGGCGGAAGGCCGGGGGGGCGGGTGCTCTGCGTGGAGTGAACGCTGCCCCCGCTCTGGAACACGTGCCCCGCCTGGGTCCGCATCCGCACGCGTGGTCACCACCAGTGCCTGGTGAATGAGGGGGGAGGGTGACTGGGTCGATGGGGTTTCGGGCATATTTAAGCCTGGCAGCAAAGTGACCCATGACTCCCATCTGGTTCGGTGCACTTTTTTTTTCCCCAAAGATACAGTGTGGGAAAACTGAGATCAACACAATATTCTGGGATGTATTTATGTATCTAAAAGCTGTTCCAGCCGAGCCAGGAACACTTATGGACAATACCTGTGCTCTGGGACAAGAGTGGGAGAATGTGCTTATTTGTGGAAATTGCCGATTCCAGATCTCATTTGTGCTCGAGTTTCTCTTTCTGAAGACTGTGTTTTCACAAGGTTTCAGTTAAAGAATTAAAAAGAAGAGGAAGCTTGGGTGGCCGATCCAGTGGCACTCAGGCTTCAGACTAGCCACTGAGGGTAGCATGAGAAGACTGGTTTGAGAGCCTGGGGCCGCTGTCGCCATCACATCTGTGGAGTAAAGCCTCAGGGCCCAAAGGCTTGGCCCTTGCTTCCACTTCAGGCAGTGAGTCCAGGAGATGTAACTAGAACCAGGTTTCCCAGACACGTGTTTCAAAGAAGATTTTGTTTACTTACCTATACGTGTATGTACATATATGAATATGCCTCTTGAACGCCTTCGGCCCTGATCATCTAGCCTGGTGGAGGTCCTCTGCAGGGCTGACTGTGGCGATGAATGGTTTAATTCTGTAGGGGTGACGGAAAAGCCTTTGGCACCCAGTAGCCACTCCCATTTCCTTCCTTCGGAGCCATGGGCCCTTCTCAGGAGGTGCCGTCACTAACTAGAAACCTGTTTATAGCAACAGCGCGTGGCACCTTCCTTTAACCTTGAGTTGATGGACGCTTAAAAAAACAAAAACAACCCTGGGATTTGGGGTTAACTAGCTAGTTTCCCGAGTTCCAGCCCAGAATACGGCCCTGTGTTGAGGGTCTGGGCGTATATGGACTCAGAGTTGAAGTGGGGGCGTTCACCAGCGGAGGACTCGCACCAGCTCTTCGTACTGGCAGCGGGAACACAAGCGCCACCGTTCTCTGAGAGGTCGCAGAGAGACCTGGTAAGCTGTGACTGGGCTCTGGAGCTCCTGTGGCATTGAGAGAGTCATGTGGGTTGTATTCTCTGTGCCTGTGTTCATTTTTCAGGGAGACACCAGCAAAAGCTGGGGGGAGAGGAGGACTACAACATGGATGAAAATGAGGCAGAATCAGAAACTGATAAGCAGGCAGCCCTTGCAGGGAACAACAGAAACCTGAATGGTAAGAGGCCTGCCGAGGCGGTGGGCTTGCCTCGTGTTTCACATTGTGGTCCTTCGTTCCCTTTGGCAGTGACTAAACACTGAATCCCAGCACTTATAAGTAATGCATCCAGGGGCGCCTGGTGGCTCAGTGGGTTAAAGCCTCTGCCTTCGGCTCAGGTCATGATCCCAGGGTCCTGGGATCGAGCCCCGCGTCGGGCTGTCTGCTCGGTGGGGAGCCTGCTTCCCTTCTTCTCTCTTTGCCTGCCTCTCTGCCTACTTATGATCTCTGTCTGTCAAATAAATAAATAAAATCTTTAAAAAAAAAATAGGTAATGCCCCCAGTCCAGAAGCCTTTGAACATGGGGCAGTGGAGGGAAGGGGAGGATTGAGAAGTCCAAGATGAAGACCTTCCAGAAGGTCTGTGTGTGTAGGGGGCTCAAGCCCTCAGGTGTTGGCTAGAGGATTTGTCTTCATGACACCTAAGGATTTTCCAACAGATGGCTAGGTCACCTCTCGTCACACTGTATCAGTAATCCAAAAGCCCTTACATCTGCACAGTACTTCCAAGCAGCTTTTTAGAGTGGCACTTTGCATTATTATTTGGAATTTTGAAGAGCCTTGGCCAGTGGGATGTATCAGCTTCTGGATTTGTCCATATGCTTCTGATTGGATTCTGGTTGGACAGTTCTGCAGCTGCGGTGTGCTCCTTTAGCTCCCCACCAGGAGGCAGGTCATGGCAGGTCGACGGCTTGGTCAAGGTATTGCCCGCCGGCCTCGTCCATTGCAAAGGGCCATTTTCCCTTAGTAACAGAAGTCATCTAGAGGGCGATGCTTTGAAACGGTGTGGCTTTAGCGTCCATTGAAAACCCTTGTCTGATGGTGCCTTCTCTAATGCCGTCACCCTGCCACATACCTTCTTGTAGCATCATGTGGTTTCATGGTTCCCTTTTATAAAATTCATTTTACCAGATTCTTAGTGTTTCCTTTCCTGGTTAAGAGTTCTATACATGCTAGGGAGATTGCCCTTTATCTGTGGTGTAAGTTGCAAATACTTCTTCCCAGTCTGTTTTGGTTTTATGTATGGTGTTTTTCGCCATGTGAATGTTTCAAAATACTTCTTTTCTTTTATTGCCTCCAAATATTGAGTCATAGTAAGTTTTTCCCTCTAGTGTTGGAAGAATTCATCTGTGTGTTTAAGTATGCTTTCAAATTTTTCTTTTAGTTCTATTGAAAAGTAAAACACAAATTCAGAAAACCACACAAATGTCTTTTTTTTAAAAATATATTAATTTGACAGAGCGCACACACAGTGGGAGTGGCAGGCAGAGGGAGAAGCAGGCTCCTAGCCAAGCAGGAGGGAGCCCCAAGTGGGGCTCCATCCCAGGGCGCTGGGAGCATGACCGAAACTGAAGGCAGATGCTTAATGACTAAGCCACCCAGTGCCCCTAAAAACAATGTTTTTAGGATTCCATCCCCACCCACCTCAAAGACTAGAACTTGACCAGCCCTCCAGAAGCCCCTTTTCTCCCCATAATAGCGCCCCCTTTCCTGACCTTTCTAGTAGGCATTTTCTTGCATTTCTTTGTGGGCTGGACACTCAAGTGGGCATCCCTGGACACCGGAGTTTAATTTTGCCCATCTCCTTAAAATTGCTAGCTCTTAAAATCATAGTCTACAGGTTCCCCCTCCACTCCTTTCCTCCATTTGCCCTGGAGTTTTCCATAGTCGGTATAGTGCTGATAGTACCTTCATAGTGCTGTTTAGTATGTTCTTTCCTGCTTCCCGCATATTAGCAGCTGATAGCCACAGGCTTGGTTCAGATTGGGCACAAGCCCTTGGTAAAGTGGGAGGTGATGGCGTGTTCTTTCATCAGGAGGCAAGGAGCACCTTTCTTTTTCTGACAGAACTAGCAGTTGATATTCAGTGCCTTCATTCATTCATTCATGGTATTCTAATTCAGCTTTTTCTATTCCACTAGTTAATTGGAATATTTTTATGAACAGGCAAGTCAGTGGTTTTAGTCATATAACATAGGATAAAAATGCTTGATTCTTTTTATTTACCCATTTTCAAAATAATGAATTATTTCCCTGTCATCCTTTGAAGGTGAAAATACAAATTCATTGAACTTAAAGCTATTTGATGGGTTTTGTTTAATTGTATTTATTATCCTTTTTGAAATTCAAGTTGTCCTATCTTCTTTGGCCAGTGGTACCTTCCCCCACTTTAATCTGAACCTTCAGGTCCTTTGTCTCTTCTCCCTGTCCTGCTCAGCCATAGCTCTCCTCCATACTCAGCCGTTCCCCCTCCCCTCATGGGGCTCTACCTGGGAAGGAGCCCCAGAAAGGAGTCCTGGCAAATGAGCGTCAGAAGTTCATGGGGCTCAGCCTCCTCTGGCCCTTGAGTCCTTACCACAGCTACTTTGTGGTCATCTGCTGCGGGAGTAGCAGAAAGTCTCCTGCTTTCTAGTTGCAGTTTGTCCCTTCGCCCAGGTACTTTCTGGTGTAAGTCTTTCGGCTCTTTGGGGTTCTCCTGTTCTATTCTTAGGTCCATCGGGTGCTCTGTGGCTCCTGTTTTCTTTCTAGACTCTGCTAGCCTACAAGCACCGTCCATTATTTTCGTCTCTGCTTGTATTTTGGGGTCTAAAGGCTTCCTTGTCATCTACTCTTGTAAATGTCTGACTTTTGAGTTTTTCAATGTAGTCGCTGTATGTAGGGACCCTGAAATACAAAAACTATGGCACAGTTGTCCCCATTTTTCCAGGATCATCATCTGTTTTTATATTTTATATTTAGATCTCGAATTCATAATTAATTCCAAATGTATTCAGGTAGCGTGGCACAAGGTTGGGTCCAATTTTCTTTTTCCTAAGGGCAACACCAGCTCAAGGCCACTGATTTGAGGTGCCACCTTTACCAAATAAACTTCTATATGCACTTAGGTCTACTTTTCAGACTTTCTGTTCCATTGGTTTCCCTGCTGACTCACACTATACCACACTGTTCTAAGGATAACAGCGCCCCCCCCACCTTTTTTCAAAGTATCTGACAAGTCTACTTCTGGAAGAGTTTGGTCAAGATCTCTTTGAATAATGCTTCTTCCCATCGATTCCTGCTTGAACTCAGATCAGAAATGTTAGATCTTACCATTCTACACGTCTCTTACCCTGTTTTTTTCATAATACCCATTTCTGCTTCCCTGATCTACATTCAGAATTTCCTCAGACATAGCTTTGAGATCACCAGTTTTTCCTTTAGCTATGCCTTATCTGTTAATTCATGCTTTGTTTCTAATTTTCTCATATCTAAACTTTCTTATTCTTTGCCCATGTTTAGAAACGTTTTTATCTTCCAGTTGCAGTATCTGAAAAACCTTGTGGGTATTTATCAGATTGTCCTTAGGATACTTTCTTTTCTTGGGTTTTGTGCTTTTTAACTTTTTAACTGTGAGCTACTGGTTTCCTGGGAACAGTTATCAGTAGGAAGCCTCTGGGGTTACACTGGCACTGCACTAGAGGTCATTTGCCTCTAGCAGTCTCAAGAAGGGCATGACAAAATCACCACTTCTTTAATAACGTAGATTCTCTTCAAGGTATTTTTTGGATCACAGAGGAAATGTGAGTTCAAACTGTACAGTTGCACGGTCATCTCATAGTTAAGAAGTCCTCCTCCTCAGTCTAACCACTGGAGTTTCTGGCCGTCTTTCTGGCTGTGCCATCTTCATGGCAGACTTATGCTCCATTACCTTTATTTTAATCCAAGGACATGAGCCTTTGGGAGTTGAGATTCAGCTTTATTTAGAAGTCCCCTTCTGGGCTTACCATCCAGACTGGAACCCTCATCTTTAGTTTTTGTCCCTCTGCATCTTTGCACGCTGTGAAGAGAGGAGCCCAGTGTCTTCAGGCTTTAGAAGTCCTCAGGGTAGAGCTAGCTTTGATGTTTATTACCTTCAGGGGTTGGAACTTCCACTTCACGTTTGGCCTCACAGATTCTTTCTTCAATTGCTATTATAGATGGTGCATTTTAATGTCTTTGAAATTTTTAACTTTTCAGTTTGAAAATGATTGATTTTAATTTAAAACAGAATTTCCATATACCTTTCACCCAGGTTCCTCAAATATTAACATTTTACATAACCACAGTCCAGTTATTGAAATGACATGAATATCGATACAATGCTATTATGCAAATTCAGTGAATTGTCCAACTTAATATCCCTTTTCTGGCCCAAGATGTAATAATCCAGGATTATATACCATGGTGTCACACCTCCCTAGGGTCCTTTAACTCAAAACCATCTGTCTTTATCTTATGACGTTGATAATTTTTGAAGTGTTCTGGCCAGTTATTTGGTAGAGTCTCTCAACCTGGATTTGATTCAACAGTGTGTTCTTTGGGGCGCGTGGGTGGCTCAGTTTGTTAAGTGTCTGCCTTCCGCTCAGGTCGTGATCCCAGGGTCCTGGGATCGAGCCCCACGTCAGACTCCCTGCCCAGCAGGAGACCAGCTTCTCCCTCTCCCTCCTGCTCTTGCTCTCTTTAAAAAAAAAAAAAAAAAAAGTGTGTTCTTTAAAGTATCTTTTCATATTTCATCCAGCATTTATTACAGTTGGCAGAGTTATTTGAGGTTTCTAGAAATAGGTTCTAACTTGATTTTTATTTTCGTAGACTGTTTAGGTGATTTTTTTTATGCAAAACATAAACATATTAGCAAGTCAGAATTTTAAACAAAGTCTTTTTCTGTTCCTGTCATCGATTCCACTCATTGTGTACCTCAGTCCTTGACTATTTGGTGTGGTTACGGTCCTAACATCTGTTTTACTATCCTTTCAAATCAGTCTAGTGTCCTAAATGTTTGGCTTTGCAGTAGAGCTCTGGGATTTTCACCCCCTACATACAGGGGTCCCAGGATCATACTTCACCTTGTATGAGGCTTCAAACGAAGGATGTGGGCAAAGAAAAATTCTCTGTCAGCTTTAAGTTTCAAGGATTGTCATCACCATCATTTTAAGATTCTGTCATCGAAACAGTTTAAGATCCTGCCTGCTCCAGGGAAATGAGAAGAAAAAGGCATTAGTTCCAACTTTATTAGAGAACTTTAAAAGACAGTATTAAGGCATTTAACAAAATCATTAACCATTTAATGTGTTGTAGTTGTAAATCAGCATGGTGGTTTTAGGTTTTGTGAGGTCTTTGTCCTTTGTGTGTCGAAGGATAGAGTAAGGATGATGGGAGCCACATGAAGACTTCAGCTCTGGAAAGCAGAAGCTTCAGAGTAGCGAGAGCTGACTGAAGCTGCAGGGAGCTCTGAGGGCCTTGTGCTTCCTGTTGGAGGGACACCAACAGGGATGCATGGAGTACAGAAGACTTGTGTTTGTGTCACAAATTTTATGAGTACATGAGGACATGGGGCATTATTTCATTATTTCATTATTTTAAATAGGAAGTTTTTAGGTGTTACAGCTTTATTTCATGGCACCATGTTGGCTACACATGTAGTCTCTTCACTATCTTGTCCTTGATTAGGAATGCAGTTCCCCATTATGTTGCTGTGGGAGATACTGTCCTCCTGATGAAGCAGTCCCTATATATTCAGGTCAAACGGAAACTGCCTGGCTGGTTTCCCTAAATATTTTAATGTTAGATTATGGTTTTTATTTATTTTTCTTTTTTAGTTCTTAATGCTGAAAATCAGAAAGGAGACATGATAAATTTACTTGATCAGCGTGAAAAGAAGAACCAAACACTCTGAATCAACTGGAATCCTATACCTCAGGATTGAAGAGAGATCACTACAAAATATTTATGAGGAGATGAATACTGTGAAATGTCCTAAGTAAAATATGCATCTAAAGATGATTATTGTGGAGTTTTAATATTTACTTTATGTAGGAAAATGATTGTGTTGTAGATGGTTTTGAGGGGTATTTTCAAGGTGTTTATACTAAGGTGTCAAAATTTGTCAGCTAATAGGTATGAGAAGATCAACATCAAAAATAGAACCCCAGTTCTCCAAGTATGGGGACAGTGATGCTTCAGAAATTCTGGAATATAACTTAAAAAAAAAAAAAAAATCAAAGCCTGTAGGAGGAGTCTGTCTTCTGACACCAAGAGACCCACCACACCTGAGAATTCTTCTCTGGTCCCTCTGGTGTCCTCCTTCACATACTGTGCTGAGTGGCCAGTATCAGCCCGGTATTTCTGTTCTCCCAGGTCAGTGCCGAATGATTACTGGCTTATGCTCTCATGTGCTCATTTCTGGTTCAGATAGTCAGGGGCCTGGAGCACAAAACTGTTAAACAAATATCACTAGCAACAGTTTTAAACAAGTCTATATACAAAGGCATTTTATGTGAGAATTTAAAAAAAAAAAAAACTACTTGTATAACCTGTCATTAACATACAAAAATGCTTGACTTGTAATTTGGACATTTGTGATCTATTTTTACTTTGCTTAGTAATGTGTGGACAAAGCAAAATCTTCTGTATTAAGTCTATGTTACCAAGAGCCATGAGTGGATCAGACTTCAGACAGAACAGGGCCAAAGCAGAGGTGACCCTGGGGCCTGTGGCAGAGCAAGGGTGGGGGCAGCACAGCACTGTGGGGGCACGTTGGCTGTGGACAAACTGCCCACTGCACCATCATAGTGAAAAAAGAGGACGCTGATGTTAAGAGTATACACAGTGTTACACAGGGGGAGAATTTAGAAAGGCAAGAGAAATGCAACAGTTGTTTTTGCCATAGTCCATACATTTGGCTTGTGGCAAATGACTATCAAAAGTGTTTTAAAAATCAAAAGTTAATGTTAATTTGAAAAGGTCTAATCGTAATTCAAATTCAGTTGCTTTTCAGTATTTCCAGTAAATAGGCTCTTGCCACTTACAAATGACTGGCAGAGTCATACTCAGGATGCTCAGGTTTTAAGGGTAAGAAGGTGGTGATGCTTATTAAATACAAGTCACCGGACTTGAGATGCAGGAGCCTCAGACCACCTGGGATAACCAGTTAACGTTGGAGAGGAAACGGGGTTCCAGAGAAGTTATAGGGCTATGCCACAGGCTGGAGAGCTGCTGAGCCACATGCCAGGCCCCTCACCTGGTCTGGACTCCTGGTGCCCCTGGCTGGCACTGAAGGCAGGACCTGGTTTGCATTCAGGTTAAGATCTCCAATGTGAATGCTACTCTATAGGTATCTGTTTACTTAATTACGAAGATTAAACTTTTCTATCCGGAAAAGGCAACTAAAGGGTGTTAAAAATAGCTTTGTAAGATTCGCTTTGTGTCTTAGCCTTATGGTTAATAGTCTCTTGCTTTTTCAGTAAAGCGTCTGTTCATTTCATTTTAATTAGTGTGCACAGAGTTTTGAGAAACAAGACTGTTCAGCTGCATTGTTTTCCTTTACTGCCCTACTGGGTCCCTGAAGAATCAGCCTGCAAATCATGGATCAAGAGTGGTGGTCTGCCTTAAACCTTGTGGACTAAGATGGGACATCAATATAAGTGAAAAATAACCATGCTGTTTCCATCTTCACGTACAGAGGCACCAAAGGCCATTCGTTCAGGAGGTGTGTACTGTGAGCGACCTCTCCAGACAGTCATGCTTTCTTACCACTGGCTTACCTTGACATCACATAGGCACCTGTTTTGAGGCAACAATTTATAGAGGTGACGTGGCTGTTTTTTGTTTTTAAAGCAAAACAAAAACCTGTGTAATACGTAAATAGATGGCAAACCCCCTACTTTGGTCTTTTTAATCAGCACCTATTCCAATTTTTAATAGGGTGAGTTCTTTAATTTACACCTCCTCTGTATTCTCAAATGGTATGTAGACAGGAATGTGAGGACTCCTCTTTTCTTCTGCAGATGGGACTGCAGATTCCCTGCACAATACTCAGATTTCTTGAGTAATGAGAGCACTGCAAATACTTAATGTACTTTCGTGTGATGGAATTTGAGAAATAAACCAATATGTGTTAAGTCAGTGTGCGGTCATGAAATAACTAGATCAGTAACTGGCATGATTGTTTTAATGCGTAGTGGTTGGTTATCTATTCTCAGCGGAACCTAGAGTGGTGCAAGACAAGTGTGAATTCAGGAGCCTTTAAGGCCCAAGGGCTTGGTCTACTCCCACTAAGAGATTATTATAAATAACTGATAGTTTATAGAATTCTCAACAACTTCTAATGCTTGTCTCTGAATTTTACAAAAAATTAAAGATTCCATGAATTGTAGGCTGTTTTTTTTTCTTTTTTACATTGTTAGACTCTGAAAATGTTCATTAGTATCAAAGTTGGGGAAATAGCTTTATTGTGTATTTAAATGTGTATGTACTATTTCTCACCACAGAGCAATACTTAAAGTGTACTGAGCCACTGTCCCTAAAAACTGGCTTATAAAATTCCAATAATGTATAGATTGAAGGATTACTCAAAGTTGGTATCATCCCATGCACTTCTGAAAAAGCTCAAGTAAAATGCTTCCATCCTTACTGGTGTGCCTGTGAAACACACTTCTGGGGAAGTTAAAGGACTTGAAATATTTCCTTTAAATTTATGCATAAACTTCATATAACAAGTTTTACAAACCAAGGCCTTAGCCATCTAATACAGAATAAAAATCCATGGCAGCATGAGCCAGGAAGAGGACTGAGCAGGAAAGGAAGGTAGGGCCTCTAGCACTGGGCACTTAAAAGGTACAGGTGGAAGCCAGCAGATAATGGAAAGATCCCCACTTGAAAACATTGCATGGGTTAAACTGAATATTTAGTAGTGAACAAAAAGTATGCCACACTGAAACCTAACCCTAAGAATTAACAATCTACACATTCCCACCTCTCAAATGATGTCACTAGCAAACATTAAGCAGAATGTTTTCAAAGTGCCAAAATGAACAATTAAAGGATTTTTTAAGAAACTTCTATATTCTTATAGGTATAGAATTTAAGACATCATGACACAGAAAATCACAATCCCCATGTAATTTAGTCTCCCTAGACAGTTTAGAGGTTCCCCCCACCCATTCCAAGTGTATTTTGCCAAAACCCCGTTCAAGTGTTTGACCAATCCCTTGTTTTAAAACTTTTGAATAATCTGAACTACTCAAGAGTAAAAACCTTCAGTTCTTAACATGCATCAAAGTGCTGTTGTTTTTCATTTCCAGTAGTGCATTTTTTGTCAAGAAATTTATTAACTTTTACAAACACTATTTTCACTCATTCATAAAAAATGATTTATGATTAAATCTGTAATAAAACCATATAACGTTCATCACTGCATTCGGTAAGACCAGTTTCATCCATGGAACATAACAAACCACTTTAAAACAGCAGTTTTCATTCACGTCGTATAAGGCTGTCAAATTAAAAGTATCTCTTATAATAGGCTGTTATCCAAGAAAGCCATTTCACTTCACGTTATGTGCTGAGACTGACGGATGGATCGATCCCCTCAGAATCTGAAAGTAGATTCTGCCCTTGATGTCCCCTTTTCAATGTCTCTCAAACAAGTTTCACAACAGGAAAGTATTTGTGAGCAGAGAAATCAAATTCAGGAGGAACCTGTAAAGAAAGGCAGAAGTGAAAGAAATGTATTTACAAATCTGGAGGGAAAACAATGAGTTTATCTCTGGGTTTATCAGTCAAATAGTTAACAAAGGCAAATGGACTTAAATCACAGGAAAGGGGGGTGAGTCAGCACACTGTTCAGTTCCATGGACAGTACAGCAACGAAACCGCCTCTAGTAAAGCAAGGCAGAAGCTGAGGAGGCCGAGAGCAAGGCGCAACGGGAGTCGTCAGACACGAGGTCCGCGCGGCACGCCAGTGCCTGGCAGCACACAGGCTGACGAACATCAGCAAGGACCGTTGACGGAATTGGCCATCTCTTGAGCCACTGAAAAAAGCCTTTAATTACTGAAGCATTCACTTTTCCACAGGCAGAGGACTTTTTAAAAACCTCTCCCATAATTTGTTTTCTCACATTTTCTGTTTTTGTTTTACTCACGGTAATTTACACAACGGAGGGGAATGGAAGGGCAGACTTTAGAAATTAAATCAATAAAATCTCTAAGTTTCAAAATAAAAGGGCAAGCTCTAGTTATTTTTCTGCCACGGAACCTCTTTTAAAGGGATTTTTTTTTTTTAAAGTTCTACAATAATTTAACGCCCATTTACTTTCCCCACAGTGCGCTTACCTTAGATTCCTTTTTGTGTCCTCCTGCCAATAACTTCATGACCACAAAGTTGGGTTTGGCAACCTTTAAAATTCTATTGACCTAAACAATGAGCAACATTAAGCTATCAAAACATAAAATTCAGAGTCAAAATGTCTTTATAATATAGGAGCTTTGCACAAGGTAAATGCTGATATTTTATTAAGGCAACTTAAAACGAACAGACACACTTTCCCATGACCACAGAGCGCTCTGCATGGGCCAGCCGTGGGGCCCCGGGTCTGCTCTCACCAAGCCTGAAGAGCATCCGGCCGCAAAGGCAGCAGCGGAGCACGTGCGGCCCAGACCACAGCTGGAGTGCTCGGACATCAGGTACTAGCTAGCAAACCTCTGGCAAGTTCTCTAGCCTCTCTGTTTCCCAGTTTCTGCATCTATAAGCATGGGGACAGACTCGCCACCACCGCACAGACCTGCTGGGAGGATTACTAAGTGACCCAATACACACTCCGAGCTTAGAACCACGCCAGTGAGTAGGAGGTGTCCTGTGTTTCCTGTCACTCCTGACTACACTCGCCTGAAAGGTTTCACCTGAACAAATGAACAGCGGAGGACTGACTAGAAGGCTGCATTCCTCCAGAGAGGGAGTAATGTGCAACCCGAAGAAAGAAGTTCCCACTGCTCCTGGTTGCTGACTGACCTCTCTCCAGAAACACATCTTACCACAAGTTTGGAACAGTTTCTCCTCAGCCCCGGCTAACACATCCGCCCGTCCACATGACAGCTGCATCTGGGCCTCCAACAGGCACGTCCCAACCTGAGCTCCTAACTCCTCAGCCCACCAGCTCCGGATCCACTTGCAGCCTCTTCCACTGGTTCCATCCACCCAGAGGCTAAGGCCCAAATCCTGAAGTCCTCCTTAACTCCTCTCTTCCTCACCCACAATCAGTCCAACTTGCTTCGGATCCCTCCACCATCCACGTCCTCTCTCACCAGACGACTGCTGTGGCCTCCACTCCCACCTGCTCCCACCTTTGCCCCTACCACCGGCTACTTTCGGCACAGGGGCCAGAGTGAACCTTCAGAACAAAAATCCAATCTGGTCACTCCTCTGCTCAAAAAACCTCCAATGTGAGCACCCCTTGTTCATCCCACTCAGTCCGTACCCTCAGGGCCTTCCTTTACACGTGCAGATCCCTCTGCCCATACAGCTCCATCCGCAGTGGCCATGTGACCTGCTTTTTCACCTTCTTCAGAGATTTGCTCATGGGCCGCCTTAAAAAAGCCTAACCCGCCGCCGCCTCCTTACAGTATTCACGATCTCCAATCCCAGCTTGATTTTTCTTCATAGTCTTACGATCTTCTAGTGCACAATGTAACTTACTGTCCACAACCTCTACCCTTAAGAGGGCAGAGATTTGTCTAATTTTCTTCACTAGTTTTTACCACAGGCTGCGGACACAGTAGACAGTCAACAAGTATTCACTGAGTGAACGAATTAATTCACTGAAGAACGTATGCCATCTATTATAGGTACCTTCCTCTAATTTTTACATTCCCCCTTGTATTTTATTACACGATTATACATAAAAGTCATCTCTCTCCTATGCCTGTTTCCCAAGGCTCCCCTCCCAAAAAACAAACATTGTTATCAACTCTCACATAATTCTCACATCTCCTTCTGGAGATACATTTGCACATACACACAATCCCTGGACCCCTTTCTATTGAAACGGCAACATACTATACACCATTCAGTGCTTCGCTCTTTGAAGAACATCCCATTACAGTATGTAACAACCTTCTGTGTCCTTTCCAAGACTCTGCAGTCTGGTATGATTTATCATCACTCATTTGACAGTCTCTGCTGAGGGGCAGTGAAGTTTCCTCACTTCTTCGCTCTGACAATCCTGCTGCAATGAGGACTCTTGTGTATTAGCGACTTGCTTCCCTCACTGCCCACATGTGCACGTGTGTTAGATAAACCCCAAGCAGCAGAACTGCTGGCCTAAGCATCTGTGCTTTCTTTTAACAGGTAAGTGCTATTAACTTCCCTTTCATGGAGGTTGTACCAAGATATACTCCCCCAGCAGTCTGAGTGTTATACGCAAAGCATTCTCATTTGCGGAATACATGCATGTCAGGATTATCAGGCATACAGCAAATGGTGAAAGCAACCAGTGGCTGCAACTTCGGATTCTGCAAGTTCCAAGGTCTATGGGATAGTATCTCAAAACAAAGTCTTTGAACAGTAGGCTCTATTTTAAATGGTCAAGTGGAATAGGTTTTTACTTCCTGTGATAACTGACCAGAGCATTTTTCATATTTTTAAGATTTATATAATTAGATTTTTTTTTTTAAAGATTTTATTTATTTGTCAGAGAGAGAGAGGGAGAGAGCGAGCACAGGCAGACAGAATGGCAAGCAGAGGCAGAGGGAGAAGCAGGTTCCCTGATGAGCAAGGAGCCCGATGTGGGACTCGATCCCAGGACGCTGGGATCATGACCTGAGCCGAAGGCAGCTGCTTAACCAACTGAGCCACCCAGGCGTCCCTATATAATTAGATTTTAATATCATAAACTATACATTAAAATAAAAAATTTTAAATGTCACCATTTCTAAACTGTGGATCACTCTGAATCCCATTTCTGTTCCTCCTACTCACTTTGTGGTTCTATGTCTCAATTTCTCTGCACTGATCTCTAAATTTACACAAAGTAGCTACTTGCTTTCATGAGCTAATTTTAAGTCTTACAAAGTTAGGCTAGCAAAGCCACTTAAAATCCTTGCCAGAAACATGACAGGCTTCACTATTAATACTGTAAGGTTCATTTATCTTCCAGTAGTAAGATACGTATTTCCTGCCAGCTTTTCCTCCAGAATTACTGTGACTGCTTACCTCATGGTCTGGGTTTGGGATATTTTCCAGGATCATTTTTGCCTGCTGAAAGTGCTTACTAGCTGCCACATACAGTTCTGGAGACTGAGGAGGAGGACTGTATTTATTGAGGTCAGACATTTCCTAAAAAGGGGGGGTGGAATACTGTATTATTCAAAACATGTTTAATATGAAAAACTCTAAAACAGCTTTTATAATTAAGAATTCTACCCCGACTCATGATTCATATATGGACACAACCAAACACTTGACACGTGTCCCTATTTTTCCCTACATAATATTCAATTCCCAATTACCTCATCTTATCCCCATACTTAAAATAACTCTTAATGGAATGAGTGCATCCAGAAAGAGCCAAATAATTTTCACAGGAATTAAAATTCTTTTATCACCTTGTCACTGGTCCAATAATATTCTGATTTGACTATTTTAACGAAACGGCTAGGTACAAACAGCATATCTCTAAGCCGGTCTCAGACTACTTCCTTTACAACTGCTTTAGTGAGCAGGGTCACCTTGAACTGCAGATAGTGCACCGGCGGTGGCGTCATCACACTGTTGAATGGAGCAAATCTGTGCTCATATCGAACTTGTTCACTATCAAGCTCAAACTTGGGTTTTCGTACTTTGCCATCCATGTCAAATGCCACCATGGTCTAAAGGAAAAAGAAAATAAAAGAGTCTATCAATTTGAAAAAGTGAATTCCTCATTAATACAGAGTAGAAAACAAGAAACAGCTATTTACAGAGTTAAAACAATTTTAAGGTTCAGAAATCAGGAATAGGAAGAGAAAAACGGGCTTTAGTATTCATTTTTATTTTATATGCCATATTTACATAAAAATTTTTCAAGTTCCAGTGTTTAATCCATTACTATTTTTCCCAGTGAAATTGTAACACATGTACATTATTCTGCTATGACATATGCTTTTACAGTTGCTTTGAAACCTTCAAGTAAAAGTTTCTTAGGAAAATAGTCCTATTATAATAAGAAAAGCATAGGTTCTGTTTCTCAAACAGAAGTCCATGTTCTGTTTTATATATTTTAATATAAGCTGCCTCAAACAATTTCCTGAATTGCCAAGTACAACTTAAGAGTTAGCACCTGCGGGGCGCCTGGGTGTCTCAGTGGGTTAAACCCTCTGCCTTCGGCTCGGGTCATGATCCCAGAGTCCTGGGATCCAGCCCCGCATCCGGCTGTCTGCTCAGCAGGGAGTCTGCTTCACCCCCCGCCCCCCCCCCCCCCCCCTCTCCCTGTCTCCCCCCACTTATGATCGCTGTCAAACAAATAATCTTAAAAAAAAAAAAAAAAAAGCACTTGCTAACTCCTGAAAATGCTTGCTTAAGCCATTCATTGTGGAGCCTACTCTCTTCCTAATATGTTCCTAAAGAAATACAAACCCCATCTCTTCCAAGAAACCTTTTCTGATCATGAATCAGAAACTCTGCCTTCTCTTATTACTTGTGGCACACATATCACCTGACCTGTCATTACCTAGACACCTGAGACAAGGATCACATCTGATTAGAGTTGGTGTTCTTAAATGTATTCAGTAGAAGAGATGTGACACATGTCAAGTGTGTTAAATTAGTACTCGTCTACAAATACTTGCTAAACAAATTAATGAAAACTAGACTTGGAAAAAAGTAAACTTTAAGCAGATAGTAAACACAAAGGTGCAATTAGAATCTGGAAAGAATCACAGAAAAGAGTCCATTTTAATTAAACTATGTAACAGCAATGTAGTTAAAAAGCAAAGACAACTTCATTTGTGACAACTTACTTTAAACATCCCAGCACACATGTTCTGATATGCCTGGCTCATTGTAATTTCTCGGCTCAAGGGGCGAACTATAATTAAAAAGAAAATTATCCACAGTTTTCCCCCTCCTCTTGCATTACCGCAGGAGAAAATCTAATTTTAAAAAAAATCTTCCACCTTGTTTACTAAAATTAAAAATTCAAAGTTTATTCCTATAGGTTAAATTTTATTTTATGGCCCAAATCTACAAAAATTAAAATATAACTGAAAGGCTTTTTAAAAAGCCATGTTCCCTAAATAAGTAATACCATAAAATTCTAATATGAAATAATTTTAACTTTTGAATTCACCATGCAGACTTAATTTCTGAAATAGAAAACCCACGCATACAGTTATTTAAAAACCCACCCAAACTGCTGAAATCCTAATGAAATACACAGTAATATTTTGTAGCATTTGTAGCAATATCTGTACCCTTCTACTAGTGATCAAGAGAGCAGTGCCTTTGAAACATTTCTTTCTCCTCCTGGGCTTTGGGTGTTGCACCAAGGCCCTCTGTGATCATCTGTCTGTGCCACTGTAACAGCACAGCTCCAGATCAACTCCCCTCCAAGCGGTGAGCCTTCTGTCAAAAGGTCAAGGGTCTCCTGCTGCCTTGTTCCTTGACTCATCCTGCTTACACATTCCATTTGGCTACTTCTTGTCCTAAGGTCTTCTAACACATAGAATAGCAAAGAAGTAAAAGAAAAGCAAGGGAAGGCACCAAAGAGGCTTGGGTCACTAACACTGGGATTCACTCTCTACCTTTTACTTTCTGAAGAGAAGATGGGCAAGAACTGAGATATAAGGACTAATTCACTCATAGCAAGGCGTAGGCAGTTCTCCATCTGTTTGTAGAAATTGAAGTGTACTCCAATGTTAGTTACTTCTTAAATTTAAAAATAATCCACGGTACCTTTCTTCTTTTTTTTTGTTTTTTTACTGCTCCGGCCTTTCTGCTGCTCTTCCATGATCCTTTCCTCTGCCATCTGAGAGCCATCAGCACGACTTAATGTCGACATCAACCATGCATAAAGGAATTCTGAGAGATACCTTCAAGTGTACCAGATATTAGTTAATGGAAGATGTCTAAATGAGATAGCTTTATCACTACAAGTACTGGTATTAATAGAGAGATTTTTAATACTGCTTTAAAAGTAAAAAAGAAAAACCCAATTATCCAACTAGATAATTGACAGATTAGATTTTATAAGAAATTAGCATTACAAATGATTAACTTCTCCTTTCTTGTACCCTTATATTGCTGGACAATGCTGAAAATATGCTTAATTTCCTACAATGATACACACTTTACAACCTTTCAAAAGACTTCTTGATAATTATATTTATATATGTTAAACATATATATAAGTATATATGTAACATATATAAAAATATAAATATATATACATTTATATATAAATTCATCAAATGAATGCTCATTAAACAATTTTTTTATTATATCAGGACACACTTCACCTCAGCCTATTAACAATATTTTATTTTCCCATTAACTGCAAGAGAAAGCAAATACAGAGGAAAAAAATGTAAAATTACGGCATTATATCAAAGCATTCTAAAAACTAAGAACATTCAGACTTATAATTTACTTGAGTTTATTCAATAAATTAAACATGAAACAGATTATTCCACCCAATACTAACTTTTCAGAAGCTTAACTAACATTACATTCTCCAATGCCCAGAAAAAGAAGTTCAAATCTAGAATATGAATATATACAGTTTATACTATAATCTATATTAAATTAAGAAACACTACTACATTAAGCTAAAAATCAAAGATTTATTAGGAAGTTTATTATTATCAAGGATGAGCATATAATGCCTATCTCTAAAATTCTCCAGAAAGTTGTAAGGCAGTTTACAATATTAAAACATGTACCCTCCCACCAAAAAAAAAAAAAAAAAAAAAGAAAAGAAAAGAAAATTTAAAGTAAAACAATAACTAGTCAAAAGATACACCTGAGGATAAACATAATTCCTTTTTGTTGTAACCAAACAAAGGCCCCACAGTCTATAAATCAAAACTGTACTGGCAAAAAACAAAAACCAAAAAACCCCTCCAAAATGCCTGGAATGGATTAGGTGCTGTATTTTAAAGCCAAACTAAGCACTGTGCTTCCTGGCAATGGTAAACTTGGAATTACAGTTTTATTTCATAAAACAAAACAAAACAAAACAAAAACAAATAGTTCACATGAAGAGAAAATAATTCCTGACAATGAATTTAAGAAAAGCATTTAGAGTATCCTTTTACAGGGTACAAATGATCCTCCCCCCCATCACACTATAAAATCTGAGGTTTATATCTTAACTCAGTGAGAGGATTTCTACAGGGAATTAATGCTGCCTTCTACCTTCCAAATACGAATACAAGGACTGATGAGTGAAGGACAGAGTTGGCACCAGTCAGGCTTTTCTTATCAAATATCAGATATCTCAGTGAGCTTTTAGTAAAGGCATTATCAAAATTAATACACAGTTATATCTAAAGAGAGTCAGGGTACAGATATTCTAGACCAGTGGTTCTCAAATTGTAATCTCTGGATCAGCAGCAGTATCACCAGAACTAGTTAGAATGCAAATGACTGGATCCTATCCCAGATCTACTGAACGAGGATCTCAAAGGACCAAGCCTAACAAGTCCCCATATGCACTGTAAAGTTTAAGAATCAGTGTTTTCTACTATTCATTTTTAAGCACCCACATGCTTTAGGTTTATATTTTAGAATATAAATTCATGAACAATAACAACAACAAGCTTATCTTGTGAAAATGCTGGAGCCCAATCTATAATTTTGAAATTGAGAAGCAATTAAAACTAACATGAAAATAGACCACAAGTGTATTTATAGGCAAAAACTAAAATTTCTTTCATTAAAAAAAGAAATGAATTGCTCAAATATGCAGATACATTTCTAATGGAGTGTTTATGTGGTTATCATTCATTTGCCGAATTAAGAGCCCAATTCTTTGTGCCAAAAAGCATATAAAAATTTTATTTTGAGGAATCAAGGGCACAAAAGCTTCCCATTAGCTGCCTCAAACCTGAGAAAGAATCTGAGTGTGTTCCGCTACAAAATGTCTGGTCTGAATATGGTGTCTACTATGAGTTAGTAACAAAATGTATCCCAAATAGCTATTTCAACACCTGTTGGTAAGAGTTGTTACCTACATAAATATTGGAGAGTACACCGAATAATATTATCCTCATACTACTTTAGTTCATGTTCAAATTCAAGTTTCACAGCCAAAAAAGTTGTATGTTAGGAGCTCTAGCAGCCATGATAACAAAACCATGTGTCAGCGTGGAAGAGAATTACTTTCTTTCCCTTATAGCAGTCATTCCAAGGAATATACAGTATCTTAATCTACTATGTTAAGTAATTCAAATATGAGTTAAAAGATGAACCATGTTGGGGCACCTGGGTGGCTCAGTGGGTTAAAGCCTCTGCCTTTGGCTCGGGTCATGATCCCAGGGTCCTGGGATCAAGCCCCACATTGGGCTCTCTGCTCCGCGGGGAGCCTGCTTCCTCCTCTCCCTCTGCCTGCCTCTCTGCCTGCTTGTGATCTCTGTCAAATAAATAAATAAAATCTTTAAAAAAAAAAGAAGATGAACCATGTTAAGATCTTATACACTAAACTTAGCTGTTTGTCATGAGCAACACTGGTTATTATTTTAATAAATTACCACCATCCTTGGCCAAACTAAGAAAAAGATCATTGGCTCTTACTATTTTTTTTCCTGTGGCAGCTTTCCCATGCCTACGGTATTTCCAAGCACCCTCTTACTAGGTTTCTCATCCTCAAATGAAAGTGAAGAACTACTGGCTGAGGACGGTGATCCCTTATCAGCTCCTTCCAAGCTCCTGAGATAAATCCCCAGGACAGCAGTTTCAACAGTTATGCTCCCAATGATAATCTTAGCCACAGTTTCTTCTCAGAGGAAAGATCTGGTTCAGATTTTGAACTTTAATTCAGTTAAGTACATTCTACAGCTAGCACCCAGCATCACTAAAGTCAGGACTAAATGTGTGTTAATTTTTCTCTCTACAAACAAATGAAAGCTCTTCAATTAATCCATTTACTTTGGAGCCACTTTTATTAGCTTTTAAATAAATACTCAATAGCTGGAAAAAAATGTATTTGTATGCTGTTATAGCACTTAAAGATAGATGTTCAAGATGATCTGGCTCTAATTTTTAGTAGACATTTCCCAATTATCCCACAACTAAAGTTAAAATACATTAAATGAAAAAGTACCCTGAAATTATCTTCTGTTCTACAGATGCTCTCTCAGATCTTATCTACTCTACCCACCGCCAATTTTAACTCATGCTGTTCTCTTACCAATATATGTAGTAGTACTCGTGCATGCTGTAGAGCTCCAATTCAAAGCCACTCAGAAGATACTGGATCATAATTCGAAGGTTATGATAAAGGACCCAGGTACCTAAACAGGCCAAATGTTGCCTTTGGGGTTCCTGTTTCAACAGCATAGTGTGAAGGGCTGCATCAACCTTCTCTGCCTATCAGAATAAAATGTTATAATATTGACTTTCTTTTCAAGGTAATGAGAGAATTAAAAAAAACAAAAACAAAAACAAACCAGCTAAAATAGCATTTAAGCAGAAAATGTAAAACTTGTCACATAAAGAACTTGCACTTTCAAAACATTTTTGGTTAGATTTAAACTTCTCATTTCACAGTGGATAACGTTTGTGTAAATACTCCTTAAACTAAAAAGACACTTTATAAGTCAAAAATACAAAATATTGACTTCAGGTCTTAAGTTATGTTACCAATTAATATTGCTGCTTACAAGTTAAAAATTTTATTAGAATGTGAACCTGTTGCAAAACCATAGTTCTACATATATTTTATAATTTATTCTGATTATCCAAGAAATAATTTAAGATGTTTCTCAGTTTGGATTACTTTCTCTTTTTGTAAACTCTTTCTTTGATACATGAAATTGTTACATGTTACATGTTACATGTTACAAGTTAAAAATAAAATCATCACACTGAAAAATTAAACAGTCAAAATATCATCCCAAAGAATTATTTTTTAAAAATCTGATCAAGGTACCTGAATATCTTAATTCTGGAAGGGAGGACAACTTGTGGGCTCTTACCTCATCCTGCAAGGTAGCAAATTCCTCAAGAATATGACCAAGCTTATCTCTCTGTCGAGCCCTATTATGTCCGTGGATCTGAATAAGACTACAGAAGGGCTGTAAGACACATACAGTTTGTTAACTGGCAACATAAAACTACTTGGCACTAAAGAAAATTAACATTCCAAATTTTCAAAATGGAGTTTAAGGGGGGAAAATACTGTGGATTTAAGAATCAGGACTGTGCATATTTCTTACAGGCATTTCTTTTTAAGGAAACTCAACATGAGAATTTATCAACAGCCAGAAGAAAGTAGCTGTTAATGAAACTTGTTTTCATATGGCAAAAATATCTTACTTTGATCTTTAGATTTTAAGAGAATAATTTCTTTTCTGCTTATTTCCCGCTATAAGCCAACGTTCAAGGGTGACATTTCTGTGCTGCTTTAAACACACCAGAACAATTATAAGGCTTGAATAAGGGCTAATACAGTTGAACCCTGAATAACACAAACGTTAGGGGCACTTACACCCCATTCAATCAAAAATCCATGTATAACCTTTGACTCTCCAAAAACTTAACTACTAATAGCCTGCTGTTGACTAGAAGCCTTACTGAGAACGTATACACAGTCAGTTAACTCCTATTTTGTGTCTGTATTATATACTGTATTCTTTCAATAAAGTAAGTTAGAAAAAAGAAAATGTTATTAAGAAAATCCTAAGAAGAACAAAATGCATTTATAGTACTGTTACTATATCGAAGAAAATCTGTGTATGAGTGGACTTGCACAGTTCAAATCCGTGTTGTTCAAGGGTCAGTTGTTCTCTAGAAACTTCTATTCCTATTCTACATAATAAAATATTATAATACTTCACTAATCAGACAGTTCACATGAATGGTAGGATGCTCTGATTTAAGAAACATGAATTAGAAGGTATCATTTTAAATTTGTACAGTTTGACAGATATTATCTCACTTGATCAATAACTAGACTCTAAGAAGTACAGGGGCAGTATTAACACCTCACTTTTTAAAGACTGGGAAGTGTATAGAAAAGTAAAGTGACCTGTATGATAATGATAAAATATTAATGATAAAAATGAAATCTGGCCTTTTAGTTCTTTCACCATCCCATGCTGCCTTCTTATATGTATGTATATACATATTTTAATAACTGGAATTAGGTACCCAAAACTGACTGCTTCAGTTCTCCAAGAGAAATGTTTATATAATTAAATAAAAATGATTTATGATTAATTTAATCCACTACAAGATTTGTATTTTTTTCTAATTCCCTGAGATTTGAAATAAACTTGTGATCTTGTCTACATCAATAATTTCAATTTTACTATAATCCTGTTCATTAATGTACTACAAAGAGAAGGTATCTGGAACTTTTACAAACATTCCTTGTTTAAAAGGTCAAAAATAAGTAGTTTTTGTACCCATTTACAAAAAATGTGTACAACTTATCCTGTTTTCCTGGGGGTTATAGTGAAGACATCAAAAGTGCCTCAGTATCTAACAACCTGCCAGGAATACTTCAGGTTAGAGAGCTATCTACTTGAGTATAAGAGGAGACAGAAATTATTTATTTATTCAATGAAAACAAGTAAGAAATGTCAGATAAAAAAATAACAAAAATTAATGCTACTGAAGGAATTACACCCCACAATTTTTAAAGTATCCATCATAATGGTCCAAAATTGTAGCTCTTACCCGAACACAGTGAGTAACAAAGGAGTCAATACAGTCCTTAGCCTGGTGATTATTATACAGGCAGCACCTGTTAAGATAATACTCATTAAAATCAAACTATTTGGCCTACAAAAAGCAGCAGTGATTACTATAAGTGCTACCAACAAAGAAGGTGGGAAAAAGAGAAAATGGAATCAAATACATTGCTAAATTAAAAACTAGAATTAGAAAAAAAAAACTAGCATTAGATTAGGAAATATTTCACTATCACTGTGTTATTCACATAAATGTACACTGTTTCCAATTCTTTCAGCTCTATCTTTGGACAGAGTTGAATCCAACAAGATGAAATTAACAAGAGAAGAAAAATTCCAAAGTGCCACTTTTTTATAACCCTACTGCAATGCTATTTATTTTTCTACAACTGACATTCTCCTGGGACTGTGCTCATAATAGTAATTACAAAGAAAATACCATACAGAATCCTAATTTTTTCAAGATGTATCCACATTTCCAACCACTGGCCAAAATCATCACCTATAAATTTCTGGTACCTCAACTTCTCTCCTCATGCAGTGGTTTCCTTGTGGTGTTCCTTATCTCAGTTAATAGCATCACTTCTTGACTAAAGCCCGCCTGAGCACAGTCTGGGAGGATCTGCTACCTGCCTAGCCCTAGAGGAAATACAGGGGCTGAATTGGTGGGAAGATTGTTTTTTTCCATCCCTGAAGTGGGAGGTCAGTGCACCTAAGAAGATGGGGAAAAGCAAAGACTCCCCTGGTGCATGGACAGGAGCAGACAACGTACTACTCCTCAGTGTTTGCCGTAACTATATAATCTGACCAGAGCATCAGAGATAACAGAGCCATAATCATGCAATGGAAAATGACAGTACATGCAGCAGCCAAGCGAAAAGAAAAAGCAGAATGCCTGGAAGAGGTGGTGGCAAGAGAAAAGGTGATTAAGATAAAGCTCTTGGGGCGCCTGGGTGGCTCAGTGGGTTAAAGCCTCTGCCTTCGGCTCAGGTCATGATCCCAGCGTCTTGGGATCGAGCCCCGCATCGGGCTCTCTCCTCAGCAGGGAGCCTGCTTCCTCCTCTCTCTCTGCCTGCCTCTCTGCCTACTTGTGATCTGTCAAATAAATTAAAAAAAAAATTGTAAGATAAAGCTCTTAAAAAAAGATTTTCTGGGGGCACCTGGGTGGCTCAGTAGGTTAAAGCCGCTGCCTTCGGCTCAGGTCATGATCTCAGGGTCCTGGAATCAGCCCCGCATCGGGCTTTCTGCTCAGCAGGGAGCCTGCTTCCTCCTCTCTCTGCCTGCCTCTCTGCCTACTTGTGATCTCTGTCAAATAAATAAATAAAATCTTAAAAAAAAAAAAAGATTTTCTGGATCCAAAAATTAGGATTTTCAAATTTAAAAATTCAATAGAAGAAAGACACTAAGACCTTGAAGGTCAAGAGGAAGAACCTTCTCACATCATGGCAAAAATAACAAAAGAGAGAAATATACATAAATATAAATAAAAGAGATAAGTATGGAGAATGTGGAGAAGAGATCTAGAGGACTTAGTATATGAGGAGCTCCAAGAAAAAAACAGATGAAGGTGAAGCAATAATTACATAAAAAATAATAAAGGATAATTACTGATTGGAAGACCTGAGGCTTTAATGACTGATTTCCTGACAGGATTAGCTGAAAATGACAGATGTACATTCCAGTAAATCCCTTAAACTCAAAAAAGAAAAAGAAGAAAAGAAAAGAAACTTTACAATCTTCCAGAAGAAAGTGTCAAATCATTAGTGAAGGGAAAAAAAAAGAATCCGATAAGGATCACGTTTATTTTTTTTTTTTTCAGGATCACATTTCTTATCTGTAACATTGGAATTTTAAGTCAATGGAATAACAGGGGTGCCTGAGTGGCTCAGTCAGCTAAGGGTCCCACTCTTGGTTTTGGTTCAGGTCATGATCTCAGGGTTGTGGAATCAAGCCCCACATCGGGCTCCATGCTTAGACGTCTGCTTGAAATTCTTTCCCTCCTCTTTGCCCATCCCCACATTCTCCTTCTCTCTCTCTCTAAAATAAAATAAATAAAATCTTTTAAAAAATGAGTGGAATGATATTTACAGATTATCATGCAATGAACTTTGTTATATATGCAGTCTATTCTTGGTACTCATGATAGTTCTGTTCTTTACAGTTGTGGTGGACACTGAATTAGACAACACAGAAACACTGCGGCTAGGGTAAAATACAGGGTTAGGTTCCTGCCAGCCTCTGATGACACCATTTTCATCAACTGATCACTAAAGAACTTTAAAGATGCCTTATGTAATGTCCATTGCTGAATCATTAGCAAAGTCAGGCCTGAGTGAAGCTTATCTTTAAGACATATACTCTCACTGGAAGGCATGCTACAGCCTTCTTGTGCTAAGGAATACTAGACAGCACATAATTACACATGGAGGCCATCTGAAACTATGAATTCACCAAAAAAGGGACAGAAATGTGAAGAATATGGCATCTAATGGAGCTGTTTACAGAGCTGCCTTGTTCAACACTGGATGACTCAGATTTTTTTTGCTGTTCTGCACATGTCGGCAAATTCAGCAAGAGTGGAGCAAATACCCACTGAGGGTTACAAATATCTTTTAGCGAGTAAGCAAGATTTGCAAATATGGAATCCTCAGACAATGTAGGTTGAACTGTAATTAAACCTAAATGGCTAATAATAAAAGTGCTAAAGGAAGGTTGTTAAACAGAAAAGGAAAAAAGGCAAATTAGACATAGACAATATTTCACATACATCAAATTGTCAAAAATTCTTAAGTCTGATAATGACAAAGTCCAAACAAAGTATGGGAAAACTAGAATTCATAAATACTGTCTTCTGGCATACAAATTGGTTTAATTATTTCAGAAAGCAATTCAGCAAAACTAGCAAAGTTGAAGATGTACATATTCTATGATCAGCAATTAATTTCAGTTTTTGTTTTTTGAAAGATTTTATTTACTTATCTGAGAGAGAGATAGCGAAAGAGAGAGAGAGAGTGAGAGCGCACAGAGAGCGCGAGCGAGAGTGCACAAGCAGGGAGAGGGAGAAGCAGGCTCTCCGCTGAGCAGGGAGTCAGATATGGGGCTCAATCCCAGGACCCTGAGATCACAACCTGAGCCAAAATCAAGAGTTAGGCACACAATCAACTGAGCCATCCAGGTGCCCCCAGCTCTGTTTTTAACATCAATAAATTAGAAACAACTTAAATGTCCAATTGTAGAGAAACAACAAAACAAACTCAGTGTGTTCAAAGGGTGGATTTTAATGAGTAAAGTAAGTCTGCATGGATCAAACTGGATGATTTCAAAACCTTAATGTTGAATGAAAAAAATCATGTTGCAAAAGGATGTATACAGTGTGATATTTATGTGAAGTCTTAATATATATAAAATAAATGGATGTATCATTTCCAGATACACATATTTGGGTGAGGTGTACAAGCATTCATAAGAGTGAGACACAAACTGTAGTGCAGTAGTCACCTCTATAACCAGAGTGGGAGGAAGGGATGGGGTGAGGGAGGAATTGAAATTGCAGGGAGTAGTTTGCAAAATGTGGCCCAGGTTCCCCTGCTGGGGATGGTGACTGGGGATGCTTTCCAGGGGAATACAAGGTCGAAACTATTCTCACAATATTAAGATGTTATTTTCTTTTTGTACTCATTCTCTCATAAGTGTACAGTGGTGGTTTCCAGAATACGTGGCATGCAATATTACAACAGACTGAAAGCAGAAGGTCAAAATAATCCAGCTATCTTCTATTAAGAGAGACAGAAAAGAGGTTTGCAAAGATGTAAAACTGTCACTTTCATCACTAATTTTTCCTAAAAACAGTTATTTTCCATAAAGATGTTATTCACATTAATGTAACGGTTCTCTTATTTTTAAAAAACTAATAAATACTGGGGCGCCTGGGTGGCTCAGTGGGTTAAAGCCTCTGCCTTCAGCTCAGGTCATGATCCCAGGGTCCTGGGATCGAGCCCCGCATCGGGCTCTCTGCTCAGCAGGGAGTCTGCTTCCCCCTCTCTCTCTGCCTGCTTCTCTGCCTACTTGTGATTTCTGTCTGTCAAATAATAAATAAAATCTTTAAAAAAATAAAATAAAAAAATAAAATAAAAAACTAAAAAACTAATAAATACTTTTAAAGTATTCTTTTAATTTCTAAAACAGTAGGTAGCAATATATATGACCTACATAAACAAAAGCTATTTTGGTCTTTACTATTACTTTTAAGAATGTAAAGGTGTTTCATGACAAAAATGCTTGAGAATTGCTCATTTAGAGGTTATCTCAATAACTTAATTCATTAAACTAGCTGCTCCTTGATACTCAAACTCAGCCCTACTCTGGGACCTTACAGATGTTGCTGACTGTCAGGAAGCCCCACCCCTGATTCTGCATGGCTCACTCCCTCAGTTCACTCTCATGTATCACCTGCAATAGGTCTTCCACAACTATCATACCTAAGACATCCATCAATCCCTTTATCTTTCTACAAAGCACTTACCATGACCTCACATTACGTATTTGTCTACTGTTCAGTCTTTCCCACCAGACTATAAGCTCCCTGTTAGGAGATATGTTTTTCTTTCCCCTAGAACCCAACAAGGTTCGGGCAATACCAGGTACCAACTTACTGTATTTATTACAAAAGGGAACTGATAAAATTTATTAATTCACATAAATATACATTAAGTATTTATCAAGTTTTATCAATCCTCCAAAAGGGAAATTTATAAAAACCAAGTAAAAATGTTGCTTAAAATGGATGGCAGTATAGGTAGTTGTCAGTTTATACATCTGAATCTTTAATATATTTAATTATAAATTTCAAAATAACTTTTGTCTCCATTTGCAGATGACATATTATATGCAGAAAGACCTAAAGATTCCATCAAAAAACTGTTAGAACTAATAAATTTAGTAAAGTTGCAAAAATCAATATATGAAAATCAATATACAAAAATCTGTTGTACTTCTATACATAATAATAAACTGTCAGAGAAATTAAGAAAACAACACCATTTATAATAGCACCAAAAAGAATAAAATACTTAGGAGTAAATTTAACCAAGGAGGTGAAAGATGTATACATTAAAAACTGTAAGATATTGATTAAAGAAACTGAAGACAGAAATAAATGGAAAGATATTCTGTGCTTCTTCGTTGGAAGAATATTGTTAAAATGTCCATATTATCCAAAGTGATTTCCAGAGTCAATGCAATCGTCATTGAAATTCAAATAGCATGTTTCACAGATACAGAGAAAATAATCCTAAAATTTATATAGAACTACAAAACACCCTGAATACCCAAAGAATAAAAAAGCTAGAGGTATCACAATCCCTGATTTCAAACTATACTAAAAAAGCTACAGTTATCAAAACAGAATGATATGGGCATAAAAACAGACACACAGATCAATAAAACAGAACAGAGAGCCAAGGGGGAAAAAAGCAATTGTATATGGTCATTTAATTTTTGACAAACAAGTCAAGAATACACAATGGGGAAAAGACAGTCTCTTCAATAAAAAATACTGGGAATTCTGGACAGCCACACGTAAAAGAAAAACACTGGATCCTTATCTTACACCATGCACAAAAATCGACTCAAATGGATTAAAGAGCATAAAAATACTTTTCTATGTAAGACCTGAAACTGTGTATTAGAAGAAAGCACAGGGGATAAGCTCCTTCACATTGATGCTGGTAGTGATTTTTTGATTTTGCACCAAAAGCAAAGGCAACAAAAGCAAATATAAACAGTGGGATTACATCAGAGGGAAAAGCTCCTGTTCAGCAAACAATCAACAAAACAAAAAGGCAACCTACAGGAGATAATATTTGCAAACCACATATCCAATAAAGGGTTAACCAGGGAAGAGCCAAGATAATCCTGAAAAAGAATGCCACTAGACATGTCTTTTTTTTCTTTTAATTTTTAATTTTTAAAGCAACTTCATTACCTTCTTATTCCTTTTCTTCCCCTGCTGAGTCAGTTATCACATCCTATTAATTCTACCTCTGAAATGTTCTTCCAATCTGTCCTCTCCTTTATATTCTCAGAGTTTAATCCTTCATCATTTCTCGCTTGTAGTACTGAATTAGCCTACCTCACCACTTTGCCCCATTATCAGTTTGTTTCCCATGAAAAAATACATACTATACTATGCCAATTCCCTCCTAAAAACCTGAGCACTTCCTCACTGACCCTAAAATAAAGACCATATTTTACCAAACCATTCACAACTCTCAAGTCTAACCCCAAACTATCTTAATCATCCAACTCCCATTTGCTTATTTATTCACTCATTCAACAAAGATTTATCATGTACTGACAATTCATACTGTAGACACTGTTCTAGCACCTGTGATACCTTAATGAACAAAGAGCCAAAACCACCTGCCCTGACCTTGTGGTGTTTATATTCTAATGGGAGTGGGAGGGAGGAGACAGGGAAATAAGAAATAAACATAGTGGGGAAAAAAAAAACATAAAAAATAAAGAAATAAACATAGTGAAGAACTGTATGGTACATATAGACTTCTTCACATAGCGAGTAAGTAAATTATACAGTATGTAAGGAAAGTCGTTATAGGAGAGAGAAAGGCAGTGATGGGCTGAGGCAGCATGGAGGATGCACTTTTTTTTTTTTTTTTAAAGATTTTGTTTATTTATTTGACAGACAGAGATCACAGGTAGGCAGAGAGGCAGGCAGAGAGAGAAGGGGAAGCAGGCTCCCTGCTGAGCAGAGAGCTTGACGCGGGGCTCCATCCCAGGACCTGGGATCATGACCCGAGCCGAAGGTAGAGGCTCCAATCCACTGAGCCACCCAGGAGCCCTGAGGATGCACTTTTTAAATAGTCTAATCAAAGCAGTCCTTACTGAGGTGAATTTAAACAGACTTGAAGATGGTGAGGGGAGTCAGTCCTGGGCATTTCTGTAAAATGCCCTCCACCACAGACTCTGTGTAAAGGCTGCAGGGTGAGAGCCAACCTATATGTTTCCAGAATAACAAGGAGGGCAAGGTGGCTGAAGCAAAGGAGATGAGGAGAGAGGGGTAAGAGATGATGAAGCCGGAGAGGCATCAGAACAGGAGTCTAGACCACAGTATATGGGACCTCCCAGGCTCAATCATAAGGGCTTTGGCTTTTATTGGGACTGAAACAGGGAATATAACCAACACTGAATGCCTGGGAATTTACCTCCTCCCTGAGACAGTCCTTAACTGATTCCGGTGTGGGTAGTTCTCAGGCTCCCTTTGTTTTGTCCCTGACAAGGACAACTCTGAGCTGCAACCCACACTGTCTCCACAGTTCCCCAACAGGACCCAATCAGAGTTACTTTCCATGAAGTATACCTCTGTGTGGTTTTCTTCCTTTTTATGTCCCACTTGCCCACAACCCTGCTGGTTTTTCCTTGGAATACTTTCTAAGGTTTTATGAACTGTCTCAGGATTTGAGAAACCTTTTGGGAAAAGGCTTTTGGGAAACCCAAGTTAGGAGAGGAAAAAGTTTTATGTGAGACGTGGCATGATTTACTCAACAAATTGAATGCTGAACCACTAACTGTTCTTAAAATATATAATTCATATGCCCGTGTCTTCAGACATGCTGGTTTTTTTGCTTGAGAAATAACAGCACATTTCTTCCGTCTCCTTTGGAAAAGCTCTATTCATTTTCCAAAATGCCAACACAAGTAATGATTTCTTGTTGCATGAAATCTTTTCCAGCTTCTTATGGCAACATGTTTCTGGTAGAGCCACTGCTCTAATGTTAATTTATGGATCAATTATTTGTATTTTCTATGTTTATCTAGACTCAGAGCACTGAGAAGAGACCTTATCTTGTTTTTTTTATAATTATTCCCAAAGTGCTTCCCTGACACAGTGCTTTGCACACAGTAAGAATAAATGCAACTTACTGAATTTGATAATTCTTTGTAAGGTTTTCTTCTCATATGGGGCCTAATGTCAACCTCACAAAAACCTCAGTTTAAATCTAAATAATATGCAGCAGAAATCAAGTAATTTTAATATGATTGAGTTTTTTGGGTTTTTTTACATGAAGATTTGATTACAATAGTTTTTATGCCTTGGCTATAAAGAAGCACAGAGAATTGGGGCTTTTAAGAAATACATTCACTATAAAAAGTCTTAGGGTACTTACTTTGGGGAGAGCACCGGAGGACTGACAAAAGACCGGAGTGCATCCTTCACCATGTCTTGCATGAGATGGGTTCCAAAGACCTTTTTGTTATCCACCAAGAAAGTGGTCTTAAAACAAATGTTATATATTAGTAATGCTATCAAATTTTAATACATTATACATATAATTGTCATTACTATGGCATGAACACATTTCTTATAAATACTGCAGATTAAAGGAGAGATTAAAGTATAAAAACCTCGTGGAAATCAATCAATCAATAAATCACTAATTCAACAATGGGTATTACTTATTAATCCCTATTAAGATGTATTCTGATGAAGGAAAATAAAAAAATGTGCAGGAACATGTATTTCCCATGTCCAGGATAGTGACAGTAAACTAGTCAAAGTGAACTGACTAGTCTGAGTATGCCAAATAAGCTAGTATGTAAGAAAGAGGGCTTCATATAATATGAAACAGCAAATGATTATCAATATTAGTTGATAATCTGTCTCTAATGAAAGTTTTGGAATACATACACACTTTCTGAAATTGGAAAAATAGATTTCATGATTAAAGAATACATTATTTAATAATAATTTGCATTTAAGTTTCTTCCCTTAATGACTTCAGTGTATTTTATTATTTGCTATACTATCCCTTCCTTGATTTCCTAACACATGTGGGTTGTTTCCAGTTTTGGGTGATCGTGAACAAAACAGCTATGAACATTTGCAGACAAGATTCCAGGAGAACACAGTACTTCACTTTTCGTAGGCAAATATTAAGCAGGAGTGGGATTTGTATATTTAATTTTATAAGAATCTGACAAATTGTTTTATAAGTGGCCACAGCACTTCACATTCCTATCAGTAAATGCATCCTCACCTGGGCTTGCTATTGTAGGTTTTTTTTTTTTCTTTTTAAGAAGGTATTATAAAAGGTGGAGAGTGGTATTTCACTGTGGTTTTAGTTTGCATATCCTTATATTTTCATACTTTAGTGTTTAAATTTGTTGCTCATTTTAAAAACTAAGCGGTAGTCTATTCTTACTGTTGTGTTTATAAAGTTCTTTGTATGATACAAGTCCTATGCCACACATGGATTTGCACATATTTTCTCCATTCTGTAGAATCTCTTTTCATTTCTGTAACAATGTCTTCACAGAAATAAAGTTCTAAATTGGTCATGTTTTACGAATTGTTTCTGATGCCATACCTAAGAATTCCATCTTTTAAAGTCACAAAGATTTTCTCTTATCCTTTCTTGAAGTTTTATAGTTTTACCTTTTAGATTTATGATGCATTCTGAGTCATTTTTTTTGCATATGTCTGTCCAATTCTTCCTGTACCACTGCGGAAAAGACTACCATTTCTCCACTGATTTGCTTTTGTATTTTGTAAAAAAATAACTGACCATATTAATAACTGATCAGTTGACCATGTATATGACCATGTAGTATACAGTACTATATACTATATAAAAAGGACTATAAAATACTATGTAACAGTATACAGTACTATATAATAAAGGCCTAATTAAAGAATAGGACTTTTCTAGACTCTCCTCTGGTTCTACTGATCCATTTTGCCAATACCATACCTGTCCTGCAGTCAGATAGCTCCCTAAGTCTGCTTTTCTGCACAACTGTTCTGGCTATTCTAATTCTTTTGTCTTTCCATATAAATTTTAGAATCAGCTTGTTGACAATGCTCTGAATCTGTAGGTAAATTCTGGGGAGAATTAACATCTTAGAAATATTAATTCTTCCAATCCACAAACAAGGTATATTTCTCCATTCATTTAGGTCTTTGATTTCTTTCACCAGTACTTTGTAGTTTTTTAGCATATTGGTCCTATAAACAGGTGTTAGATTTATACCTAAGTGTTTCATTTTTTGTGTTATTACAAATAGTACTGTTTTTAAATTTTTTACTTCCCATTGCTCACTGCAAATATATAGAAATACAATTGCTTTTGGATATTGACCTCATACCCTTTGTTCTCCTTAAACTCACCCATCTGGTCTAGGAACTTCTTTGTAGATTCCCTGACATTCTATATAGAAAGTAATGTCTGTAAAAACATATCTTTTCCCTTTTCAACTATGCCTTTTATTTCTTTTTCCTGCCTTTTTTCACTGGCTAAAATTTCCAATACAGCTCCCCCTCAACTTTTGATGATTGGCTTATGTCCCAATAAGCCCACTGTAAGTTGAAAATACTCTTACGTTGCAATGCATTTCATACATCTAGCAGACTGAACATCACAGCTTAGCCTAGCCTACTTAAACATGCTCAGAACATTAGCCTACTGTGGGGCAAAATCACCTAACACAAAGCTTATTTGATAATACAGTGCTTAATATCTCTTGTAATTTACTGAATGCTATACTAAAAAAAGTGAAAAACGGAATGGTTAAATCAGTTGTTTGCCCTAATATCCTGTGGCTGAGTGGGAGCTATGACTCACCGGTCATGCCTAGTATCATAAGAGAGTATTACACTGCATACTGAAAAGATCAAAATGCAAAATAATAAAGTATGGTTTCTACTGAATGCACATCCCTTTCACACCATCATAAAGTTTATAAATCTTAAGTCAAACCCACTTAAATTGTGGACCATCTGTACTATGTTGAAAAACAGTGGAGTGAGAAAGCAGATATCCTCATTTTACTCCCAATCTTAGGAGGAAAGGATTTAATTTCCCATCATGAAGTATGATGTTGGCTGCAGATATTTTTGTACATTCCCTTTATCAGGTTAAGGAAGTTCTTTTCTATTCCTAGTTTTGCTGAGAGTTTTTATCATGACTGGAGGATGAATTATGTCAAATGCTTTTCCTGAATCTACTGAGACTTTAGATTGTATGGTGGATTACACTGACTGATTTTTGAATGCTGAACCAGGATTTCATTTTTGGAAAAAAAACAACTTGGTCATGATGTATTATCTTTTTTTATATAATGTCAAATTTGATATGATAATACTTTAAGGTTGTTCTGTCTATGCTCATAATATGTCTATAATTTTCCATGCTTTTAATGTCTTTGGTTTTGCTACTGAGATATTGCTGGCTTTATACCATGAGTATTGTTGGTTCTTCTATTTTCTGGAACAGACTATACAGAATTAACCTGGAATTTTCTTTTTAGAAGGTTTTTAAATTATGAATTCAATTTCTTTAACAGATACAGGACCATTCAAGTTATCTCTTTTGTTGTGAGTTTTGGTGATGTCCTTCAAGAAACTGATGCATTTCATCTATGTTTTTGAATTTATGGACATGAGTTCTTTATAATATTTCCCATATAACCTTTTATAGACCCTTTTGGGATCTGTAGTAATACTTTTTCATTCCTGATACTATTCATCTGTATCTTCTTTTCTTCTTTTGTCTGGTTAGAGGTTCTTCAATGTTATCGATCTCTTTTTTTTTTTTTTTTTTAAGGCTCGGTTAATTTTTTTAAAGTGTTGTTTATTTAAGTAATCTCTATACCCAACGTGGGGCTCAAACTCACAACTCTGAGATCAAGAGTCACACAGTCTTCCAACTGAGCCAGTCAGGCACCCCTTCATCTTTTCAAAAGAACGAAGTTTTTGGTTACATCAATTTTCTTCACTGGTACTGTTTCCTATTTTACTGATTTCTGCTTTTATCTTTAGTATTTCCTTTCTTCTGCTTGCTTTGAGTTTCATCTGCTTTTTTTTAAAAGTAGAACCTTAAATTATCCAGACCTTTCTTTTAAAAAAATTTTAACTGAAGTATAGTTAACAGTCTTATATTAGTTTCAGGTGTACAACACAATGATTCAACAATTCCATACGCTGTGAAATGCTCACCATGGTAAGTGTAGTTACCATCTGTCACCAAAGTTATTACAATATTATTGACTATATTCCACATGCTGTACTTTTCACTCCTGTGACTTATTTATTTTATAACTGAAAGTTTGTATCTCTTAAGCCCCTTCACCTATTTCACTCTCCACTCCCACCTCCAATCCCTCTGGCAACCACTTTCTTCTTTTTCTCATATAAAGATTTAATCTTATAAATTTTCCTCTAAGCACTGCTTTGATTATATCCCACAGATTCTGTAGGTTTTATTTTCAATTTCATTCAGTTCAAAATATTTTCTAATTATCCTCAAGACTTCCTCTTGGATCCTGAGTTTGGTTTAGAAGTGTGTTAATTTCCAAATATTTGGAAAATTTCCAAATATCTTTGTTACTGATTACTAGTTTAATTCCAAAATATTTAGAGAGCATACTTTGTATGATTTCAATTGTTTTTACATTATTAAGGTTTGTTTTACAGCCCAGGATATGATCTTAATGAATGTCTAATATTCCAATACTTCTAACACAAAAATATAACACTAACTGTTGATATCCTTTAAGAGCATCTACTTTTGTTCTAGCAATCAATAAAGCAATGTCAACACATGCAAAATTTGATGTTTAAAGAAGTACTGCAATACTAAATAGAACTTACTTGCAATAGAGATCTTGAAAGAACACAAGGTGATTGTTCACTAAATTCACAGAAAAAATCCTGATACACAGAGAAAAAATAATGTCATTAATAGATTAAATAAAAGCTGGAAATGTCTGTATATATCATGTAATTTTTACCAGAACCTTCTGCAAATTATATACTACCAGAGTTACACTTGATCTCAGCCAAAAGGCCAAGAAGCGATATATATACTACCAGAGTTAAAAAATGACAGAGAGCTAAGGATCATGTCTATTGGAACTGTCTTAATTGTATCAATGGGACAATGAATGATTTTGGAGACTTTTTTTTTTTAACTGACCAGTAGAATTGTGTGGATCCAAATGAATTTGCACACCATGAAAATTAACAGCATTAATAATAATCTGCTAACTAAGAGCAGAGGTTTACTTCCTACTTCACAAAAATAAATACCAAGTAACCAGGCCAACTGGATTTATATAACTGACTTCTTGATTTTTTCGACATCCAAAAGATATGCTTAGAAAAACTACATATGGGTTTATACATAGATAAAAGAGAAAAGGTAAGAAAATACACTACAATGTTAGCTTCTGTATATTATAGGATAGTAGTTATTTATAATTTTCCTATTTTTTGTGTGTTTTCCAGACTCATGATCCTCAATTTAAATGAGTGTTCTGCCAAAACCTACCAAGTTTCTCTAGTCAATTCACTTTTTTCACAATTAACTTTTATACCTTCCTCACACTTCTCAAAGTAAATATTCTCTGCTATAGATGTCCTCCCATTTAACATTACAAAGAAAACTAAGTCATTTATCAACAGGAAATCCCTCCACTTCAGCCTCTAAACGTTATCAAACTGAACCCACATTTGTACTCAGATCCCTTCCTTGCCCACTTTAACAATGAAAACCCTCCATTTGTACTAGGGACTCCATTCCCTCCTGTCTTTTCAGGAACATTACACAATGTCAAGAATCCATCCTTGTCTGTCCTAGATATTTAACTTCTCCCTCTCTTCCAGATCCTCCCCATTCATATTTAAGCGGTCAATTTCCCCCCATCTTTAAAAAGAAACTGTCACATGCTCCACAGTTCTCTCTCAACTGCTGCCTTCTCAGCTAAACTTTCTGAAAGAGCGGACTTAACCATCTCTACTTACTCAATGGCCCCTCCTCATCAACACACACTAGCCTAGTTTTTCACTCTAGTCACCACTGTCCTCTGACACCAAATCCAGTCGACATTTGTCTTGGACCTAATTCACTTCTTTCATCTGACCTCTCAGTATCTGAAAGGACTTCCTTCTGGTAAAATAAAACCTTTTAAATGACTTTCACGAGTTTCTTCCTTTGTTGCCACTTCTCGGCCTGTGCAGTAGGTTCCAAGTGTAGTTCCAGACTATTTTCTTTTCTCAAGCCATAAACTTTTTCCCTCACAATCTTCACCATACCAATGCTTCAATTACTACCTGTAATAGTTCCAAAATTATATATCTAGTATTGACTTCTAAACTCTATCCACAGAGTTAATATCTATTCAATATCTCTGCATAAGTATCTTAAAGGCACTTCAAATTCAGCTTCATTAAGAGCGTAAGCTGACTGAAGGTCTTTGGGAATTTCTGCATTTTGGTGAACAGCAGAGTGTGTATCAAGATCTGCAAGTCAGAAACCCAGAGACCTTCCTGAGAGTTCTGTCATGCTCCATGAATTAAACATTGGTGTTGAATTAAACACCAATGTTTAATTCAACACCAATGCTATCAGTTTTAGTCCATGCACAGCTCTAACTCTGACAACCTAGATCATCTCCCTGCCTTCTAACTGAAGTTACCATCCTTTCTCCCTTGGACTGTGATGATGGTCTCTTAATTTATCTCCCTGTGTTTACTCTGGCCCCTTCCTCCATGTTTTCTCTACAATGCAGCACACATGGCTGCAAACTGTTAATTCAGATACTTAACTACCCCACTCATATTGATCTTGCATAAAACTCGAATGTGAAAATGGAAAATATGGAGAGCATAAATTATAAAGAATCATAACTGACATTTTGGTATTTGTTATTCCAATCTTTGTTAAACTGATTTTACCTGTCTCTGATGATCACTTCTGTGTATGACAATGTATAAAATGGATAATCTATTTTGAAAGATAACATTTCCCTATGTCAATATTTTCCTATAACATGCTTTTTTTTTATGGTCAGTTAGCCACTGTGTATTACATCATTAGTTTTTGATGCAGTGTTCAATGATTCATTAGTTGTGTATAACACCCAGTGCTCACCACATGTGCTCTCCTTAATACCCATTATCTGGTTATACCACCCCCACCCCCTTCTGAAACCCTCAGTTTGTTTCCCGGGGTCCATAGTCTCTCATGGTTCATCTCCCTCTATGATTTCTTCCGCTTCAGATTTCCCTCCCTTCCCCTACGGTCATGCTATTTAATGTCAGTATGGCATATATTCTACACATACTATAGGATGGGTAGTATCACCAGTGAGTATTTAAACTGTTCCTAGTTTTTCAAGATTACAAATGATGACGAGCCAAATACCTCTTTAGTTCATCTTTGCATATATCTTAGATGGTTTTCTTAGGCTAAATCTCTAGAAGGGGAGTTGCTAGGTCAGGATGTACACATTTTTAAGACTTTTGAGAGCAACAGCCACACAACTATAGGAGAGCAACTACTGCCATCCACCAACATTAAATACAATTTTTTGTATTCTTCCAATCAAGTTGCTATAAAGCACATTTCCTCAATTACTAGTAAAGGTATGCATTTTTCACATTTACTTCTTTTTCAGCACGTGTGCTCATGTCCATTCCCAATTTTCCAGAGATGATTTGTCTTGTATGTAGTAAGCACACCTTATAATCTGGTACTTTATCCTAATAGGAAGAGGTTTCTTATGCAGATCCACCAGATATTTGGTCCCCTCTTTTCTCTAACTTTAATCTTCTCAATTCTTGGCCTTAGCCACACTCCTCTACTACCACCACCGACTCTTGTCACAAGTGTTCCAGGTATCCAGACTCTTCTCTTTCTATGCCCTCTTCACATCCAGTGCTGGCAGTCCAGGCCTGGCTCCCCCAGCTCCTCACTAGTATGGTATGTCATTCAGCATTCACCTTCCTGACAAGGCAATCCACAACCCTCTGCCAGAATATTAAATTCCAACTGTTGCACTATTTTTTTCTTTTTCCAATTCACACTGATCGCCTTCTAAAATCTTACATTTAATCTGAACACAAATATTCATGTAACAATTAAGAATCAGAAAAGCAGATGCAGCAGAAGAAAAAAAGTCTCTATTCTAATTCTAGATATGCCACTAACCAATCATTTAATTTGGTTATAAGCCCTCTAAACCTTACTTTGTTTAGCTATACAATGAACTGCAAATTGCAAAATTATGTCTATGATCTTTTCTACCTTTAAGATTCTATGATTCTTAAGACAGAATAAGGACAAAACTACTAGAAAGAAAGCAAATAGAAAAGAGGTAACAAACATACAATCAGTTAAAGTTTCATTAAGGAATGAAGACTTAAGCTGGGCGTTAATGACAAAGAATTAGAAGGGAAAATAAAGTTATTACAAGAAAGAGCATAAACAAAAGCCAAATCTTTGTTGACCATCAACTATACCCCAGAGGCTGCTGCTCAAATTATAGGAATGTAAGCAAGGTAATTCATCTCCTCAAGGAATCCAGGTACAGAAGCAACCTGGAACCAACAAGGAAGACCTCACAGAGAAAATGACATGGGCTGGGAATTATGTACTCTATACAGAGTTATGTGTAATAGTGTACTTATGTCTAAATAATGACAGTATTATTTTGCATATTTTCTACCTTCCTAACCTTATGTAAACATTGCTTTTCTACATTTTAACCCATACAGAAGATTAATCCAAAATATGTAAAAATGTACATACTCTTTGACCCAGCAACTTCATGAAGGTTTAGGAATTTATCTTAAGGAAGAAGGAAGCAGATGATATGAAGGTTCCTACAGAAATGCTCATTTTAGTAAAACACTGAAAATGACCTAAATACAACTCAATATGAATGGACTGGAAAAAACTGATATATGCTTACAACGAAATACCATGTAGCTATTTAAATAATGTAGAAAAATGTGTATTTATTGACATGAAAAGAAAGATGTTCATGATAGAGAGATGAGTGACTAAAGCAGGCTACAAATACCATGATCTAATTTTTTGTATAAAAATATACATCTATTTATGCATACTCATATCTATGTGTATATGCACACACATATTTACATATAAGAAGTTTTGAAGACAGAATCCAGGGTTTAAATCCTCATTCTTAAAACTTGGGTGAATTATCTAAACTTTAGTTTCTTAATCTCCAAAATGGATAGTATATAATCCTTATAAATTAAACAAAAACAAATACACACACAACATACAGACACACACACACACACTACACACGCGCGCACACACACACACACCTTAATTCTCCAGCTATCAAAGAAAACAAGTAAGCAATTTTATTTACCCTTGGGACAGTCGGCCTCTAAAAAGTGATAAACTATTCTGTTGTTCAATCAAAACCATATTCCAGAACAGACATTTGTACTTACCAGGATACAATGTAAATTTGTTAAATTGACCACCTCACAAACAGTTTTTATTCTATCTATTAATCTTGCAAAATAGTTGACCATTTCTTCCCTTTTAATTATTTTTGCATATCGAGGGAAGGTAGGTGGAAGTAGCCTCTGGTTAACAAGGGGCTCAAAACCCATCATAATTGGATGATCTAAAAAGGAAAAAAAGTTAAGATTTTCAATGCTTTGCTGAAACTTAAACCTCAAATACTAGTAAATATAAAAAGAGGCCAATTTCAAAAAGCATCTCCAAATTCGTCACAATATTCTCTAAACAAATTTTATAATTTACAAACATCTCTATATATTTTGAAGGAGATAAGAAGATTTAATAACCCAAAAATTAGTACTTCCTACTACATGGAACTGGAAGTAGTGACAGAAAGGGGTTGCTACCTCCCAATTACCCATTAGCCAAGAATGGGATAAAACAGGGTTAATATATTCCCTTAAAAAAAAAAAAAAGGAAAGCAATGCTGTATTAACAATGAGATTGTTGGGGTGGGGGTAAAATGGGAACACAAATTGAAGCTGTCTTCCCTTCAATTACTGAAGAGTAGCATCAACTCAAATTTAGTTACCTAATAATGCAAAACAGAGAACAGTGCCTGCCCAACCTCCCACCCCCTGAGTCTGGAATACTCGTTTCTCAAATTCCACGTATCAGTGAGATTATACGATAATTGTCTTTCGCTGATTGACTTATTTTGCTTAGTGTAATACCCTCTATTTCCATCCATGTCATTGCAAATGGCAAGATTTCATTTTTTTGATGGCTGCATAGTATTCCGTAAGATACCTAAGAATAAATCTAACCAAAGAGGCAAAGAATCTGTACTCAGAAAACTATAAAGTTCATGAAAGAAATTGAAGAAGACTCAAAGAAATGGAAAAACGTTCCATGCTCATGAATTGGAAGAACAAATATTGTGAAAATGTTCATGCTACCTAAAGCAATCTACACATTTAATGCAATCCCCATCAAAATACCATCAATTTTTTTCAAAGAAATGGAACAAATAATCCTAAAATTTATATGGAACCAGAAAAGACCCTGAATAGCCAGAGGAATAGTGAAAAAGAAAACCAAAGTTGGCAGCATCACAATTTCAGACTTCAAGCTCTATTCAAAGCTATAATTATCAAGACAGTATGGTACTGGCACAAAAATAGATACACAGATCAATGGAACAGAATAGAGAGCCCAGAAATGGACCCTCAACTCTATGGTTAACTAGTCTTTCCTACTTTTGTACAAAGAGAATCATGCGATTTGTGCACCTTTTTTTTTTTTTTTTTTAAGATTTTATTTATTTATTTGACAGAGAGAAATCACAAGCAGGCAGAGAGGAGGAAGCAAGCTCCCTGCTAAGCAGAGAGCCCGATGCGGGACTCGATCCCAGGACCCTGAGATCATGACCTGAGCCAAAGGCAGAGACTTAACCCACTGAGCCACCCAGGCCCCACGATTTGTGCTCTTTTATATCTGGCTTCTTTTAGCATGTTTCCAAGATTTATCCACTATGTAGAGTATATCAGTACTTCATTCCTATTATTAAGAAGTATTTCATTATATGGATATACCATTATCTGTCCATTCACATATATTCCTTTCTTTAACAAAAACATCAAAATATTATACACGCTGATCTTTTTTCAACTGTTTTTTAAAAAAGATTTTATTTACTTATTTGACAGCGAGAAATCACAAGTAGGCAGAGAGACAGGCAGAGAGAGAGAAGGGGAAGCAGGCTCCCTGCTGAGCAGAGGGCCTGATGCCGGGCTCAGTCCCAGGACCCTGAGGTCATGAACTACGCCAAAGGCAGAGGTAAAAAAAAAATAATAATAATAAATTTTAAAAAAATTAATTAAAAAAATTAACCCACTGAGCCACCCAGGCGCCTCTTTCAACTGTTTTTTAATGTGAATTTTTTTTTCTTTGAAACGCTCTCAAAGTTGCAAGTACAGTCAATACTGAATAACCCTCGAATATGCTGAGTGTTATTCTTACAAATATATACTCTTATATATTCACAATACACTAACCAGAATTAGTAAAATAGCATTGACCAGTTATCATCATGTAATCCCTAGAATTCATTCAAGTTTCGCAAACTATTCCAAAATGTTCTTCACATCTATGTCAGAACCAAAAGATGCATTTAATTTTGATTTTTAGTCTTCTTCCAAGCTGGAAAGACCAGGAACCTGGCCCTCCTGTGCCTCCTTCCTGAGGCCAAATATTCAAAGATAAAATTTAAGCCAAAATACAAAGTAGCAAAGAAGCAATTACAATTCTTCTAAACTCAGGAAAAGTTCCATAAAGTGGCCTTCTGTAGGTTCTAGGGCTTGCAGTAGCTGAGGGGGGCACACACACGAGCCCTCATAGCCTGGATTTGAGGCTGGGCAGTGGCTATTGGATAAGATCAGGGACGATTAGATGGTAGTAATTTTGTGTACTGCCCTTCAACTTAACTGACATGTCCCTATCACTCTTTCAACACTTTACGCACTTTTAGCATGTAAGCTACTCCAGGCTCATCATCTTCTTTCCCTACCCTAACCCTGGAACCACCAATTCTCCAAGATGTGCTAGTTTCTTTTATTATTTTGTTTTGTTTCCTGCTTTACTGAGATAATACAATGTGACAGTTTGATTTATGTATACGCGACAGTTTATGTATACACTGTGAAAAGATACACCCCCTATCAAGTTAATTATTACATTTATCACCCCACATATTTACTATTCATTTTCTCTGATGAGAACATTTAAGTTCTATTTTCTTAGCAAATTTCAAATACACAGTGCAGTGGGATTTGGGTTTTTTTTTCTTTTTGTTTTAAAAGATTTTATTTATTTGAGAGAGAGCACGAGCACAAGCAGAGAAGGAGGAAAGAGGGAAAGGAAGCAGCCTCCCCATTGAGCAGAGAGCCCAGTGTGGGGCTCCATCACAGGACCCTGAGATCATGACCCGAGCTGAAGACAGACATTAACCACCTGAGCCACAATGTGCTGTTATAACCTATAGTCACCATGTTCATACACTGTAAGGTTCAAACCTTACAACTGAAAGTTTAGACCCTTTTACCAACCTCTTCATATTTCCCCAGGCCTCCTACAACCATCTTTTTACTGTTCCTATGAATTCAAGTTTGTTTTTGTTTGGATTGCACATATAAGTTATACCACACAGCACTTGTCTGTCTTTGGCTTATTTGACTTTGTATAATGCCCTCCAGATTTATTCACTTTGTCACAAATTATAATATCTCCCCTTTTTTGGGCTGAATTCTACTGTGTGTGTGTATATGTATGTAAACCATATTTTCCATACCCATTCATCTATGAAAAGACACTTAGGTTGTTCCTATACACTGACTATTGTAAGCAATGCTGAAGAAAGGTTTAATGGAAACCACGAGAAAGCAGGGTTAGCTATACTTATTTTAACACAAAATAGACTTTAAGTGAAAGACAATAAAAAACAAAAATGGTCAATATATAATAAAGGGATTAATTCATCAAGAAAATAATTATAATTATTTATGCACTTAGAAGAACACCTAAATATATAAAACAAATATTAACAGATCTGAACAGAGAAACAGAAAACAGATTAAGAGCAGGGGACTTCAATATCCACCTTCAACAATGGATAGATCATCCAGACCAAAAAAAAAAGAAGAAAAATCAATAAGGAAACTGAATACTTGAGCTGTACTTCAGTCCAAATAGACCTTAACAAGAAATATATAGAACATTCCAACCAACAGTAGCAGAATACACATTCTTCTTAAGTGAACATGGAACATTCTCCATGACAGATCAAATAATAGGTCACAAAACAAATCATTTAGCAAATTAGAAAAAACAAAATCATGCCAAGTAACTTTTCTGACCACAACAGTATGAACTAAAAATCAACAGGAGGAAAGCTGGAAAATTTACAAATTTGTGGAAGCTAAACCACCAATGAGTCAAAGAAATCAAAAGGGAAATCAAAAAATACCTGGAAACAAATGAAAATGGAAACACAATATACCAAAACCTATAGGATACTGCTAAAGCATTTCTGAGAGGGAAGTTCAAAAGGATAAATGCATATATCAAGAAATTAAAAAGATTTCAGATACAGAACCTAACTTTACACCTCAAGGAATTAGAGAAGAACAAATTAAGTCCAAAGTTAGCAGAAGGAAGAAAATAAAGATCAGAGAGGAAATGGAGACTCTACTCCCTCTCATATAGGAAAGATGAATGAAATTAAGAATTGGTTTTAGAAAAGATAAATAAAATGGACAAATCTTTAACTACAATCCATTTTTTTACTGGAGATTTTAATTCATTTGCATTTAAAGAAGAACTGATAGGTATGGGTTTAACATTTATTTTGGTTTTTCTTTGCCTTGATTGATTTTTTTAAGAGAGGAGGGAGGGGCAGTGGGAGAGGAAGAGTTTCTTGAGCCCCATGCAGGGCTTGGCTCATGACCCTGAGATTATGAACTGAGCCAAAATCATAATGGACTGAGCCACCCAGGCACCCCCTCCCATTTGTTATTTTGTTAACTGTGTTCTGGTTGTTTTCTAATTCCTGTGTTCCTTTTTCCTTCTCTTGCTCTCCTTCATTGGTATTTTGCGATTTTCTATAGCAGTATGCTTTAAATTCCTTTCTTTTACATTTTGCATTTCTACTACAGGTTTTTGTTTTGTGGTTATCCCAAGGCTTGCATGAGAACATATTTATAAATCTATTTTAAGCTGATAATAACATCAAACACATACAAAAGCTTCCTCTCCCCTTATTTTGCTCTGGTTATCACAATCTGCATCTTTTAACATTGTGTATCTATTAAATTGCTGTAGTTACAGATATTTTTTAATACATTTGTCTTTTAACCTTCATACAAGAGTTATAAGTGATTTACTCACCACCATTACAACATTAGAGTATCCTGATTGTAACTGTATTTACTTTTACCAGTATTAAACTTTCATACATTTTCCTGATACTAATTAGGAACCTTTCATTTCATCTTCAAGAACTCCTTTTAACATTTCTTGTAAGGGTGGGTCTGGGAATGATGAACTCCCCCAGGTTTTGCTTATCTGGAAAACTCACTCAATCCTGAAATGATAACTTTGATGGGT